CTAGGACCAATTCTGTTTTGTTTAGTTTTGCAGTTTATCGTGGACATGCTGATCACCGAACTGAACGCGTGGTTTATGGACGATGGAACACTAGGAGGCCGCCCAGGAGAAGTCCTAAGCAATTTTAAAGTACTCGTTACGGAAGCAGAAAAATTCGGTTTATCTGTGAACCTTTCAAAATGCGAGCTGTTTATCTGCGGTGGATCGGAGACACAACGTGAAGCTGTCGCCGCGAATTTCAAGGCACAATTTCCCAATTTGTCGGTGGTGTCCAAGGACAAACTGAGCCTCCTGGGATCACCCCTATTGCCGACAGGAGTAACTCCCGTGATCAGAAAAAAGGTTGAAGAAGTGAAGAACATGTGCGACCGACTTGCGCTTATTCCTAAACACCAAGCGCTGTTTTTGCTGAAAAATTGTCTTGGTGTGCCAAAAATTGTGCACCTGCTTCGAACCTCTCTGGCGTGGCAGTTCTCAAAAGAATTATACGCCTTAGACCAAACTTTCCGCGGCGCAGTAGAGAGCATCACCAACGTCAGAATGGACCATCCGACGTGGTTACAGGCATCCCTACCTGTTCGATTGGGTGGTTTAGGGATACGACGCACAGAGGAGCTAGCTCCCTCCGCCTACTTGGCATCGGCTTCCTCATTGCGTCCGCTTATCTCTAAACTATGCCCGATCCTACCACCGACGGATATAACCACGGCAACACTGGCATGGAAGTTGGTCACCTGCTTGAACGATGTGCCGGCCGAACCCGTCCAGAGCATCCAAAAGGCCTGGGATACTCCCGCGACCTTACGTGCTCTCTCAGACCTTTCAGCTCTCCGTGTCTCGGCTACAGAAGTGGCACACTTGAAGGCTGTATCGTCCCCAGAATCAAACCACTGGATCCACGCATTACCCGCTGCATGTTTGGGTAATTTACTCGAAAACATTGATTTCCAAACCAGCGTCGCTCTACGATTAGGAGCTCCAATCGTCACTCCCCACAAATGTAAGTGCGGCGAATGGGTGGACGAACTCGGGAGACATGGACTGCGATGCAAACGATCAGCCGGACGTCTACCTAGACACGATGGCATCAGCAAGGAGTTCGCCCGCGCGCTAACGACGAGCGGTTTCCCTGCCAGAATGGAACCGAAGGGACTGGCCATAACAGGCAATAAAAGACCGGATGTTGTTACGCTTATTCCATGGGAACGTGGCAAACCACTCGCAATAGACGTGACCTGTGTGGACACCCTGGCCACCTCCTATATTGACCGTACATCCGTCAATGTCGGCGCCGCAGCGGAACTGGCCGAAACAAAAAAGCTCGCAAAACATGCGTGGCTTCAGCCAAGGTACAATTTTGTTGCCGCTGGCTTTGAAATTTACGGACCATTGGGCGACGGAGCTAAGAAGCTGGTCGATAAAGTCGGATACCTTATAGCGGCCGCTACCGGGCAATCGCGCGCGAAAGAATTCTTACGGCAACGGATCTCCATACAAATTCAAAGAGGGAACGCCCTGTGTGTGATGGGCACTATAAAGGAACAGGAGAAATTAGAAGAAATTTTCTTGTTGTAGCGGATTGTCTATTTTATTGAGTGTGTTGTTGCGCTTTTAAGTACAAATGTTTTGGATGTTTTTTTCAATGTTAGAGCGAGAGTGCATTCTTTAAAACCAATTAATACAATTAGGGCTGTCCTTTACAGTTTGCGCATGTTGCACTTGCACGAGATAAGAAAGGTTTTTGACTCTTGTTTATAGATAAGACTGCGTCTTGCACAATCCGCAACTAAAACATCAAAACCGACGTCTCAAAACGGTAAGCAAAAACTGATAACATTTTGGTTTCCAAACAAGTCATACTTCGTATGCATATTACTGCAGATCGAAGGAAGGTTTAAGCCTTTGACATTTCGCGTAGACATAGCGCAAAACTTCGAGTTACGGTTGTGCGAGTAGCTTCCCAAACGTGCACAGCACAACCTGGACTGGTATCTATTTATTATCTATTTAATAATGATGAGTATAGTGTTAACAATTTAATCGCTACCATTTAGAAGAATACGTAACTGTAATGTTTTATACATGTCACAACTCGCACATCTCGCATTCTGCACAACCCATTGATTCGGTTATTTATCTGTATCGCCTCAAGAGAAGCCTGATTTACCGTTCCACATCCAAGTAGGTCGACTGCACAATCCATTCGTGAAGGTGTCGATGCGGCCGGAACCAGCACTCCAGCGGGCCCGTATCCTTCAGCTGGACATTGGGAATGTTAAGGTGGAAAGCGAAGGACGCGCCCAGTACATTGTGAACAGGATCCGGGTCGTAGGCGGTCCTCGCCCACCATGGCGGCAGTTCATGCACGCCATTGAACAGCTCAGTGTTGTGGTGCCACAGGCAATGCTCCCGGACATTCTCCACGACCTCCGACGCCAATGGCAGCCGCACTCGGCAACTGATACTGACGTTGGCTCGCTGCGACACCTGCTGTGGCCGTAGAGAGCCCGCAAATATCTCGTCGGTCTGGGTGACACGAGGGATTAGGGTGTAACGGACCAGCACGGTCTTCTTGGCCGCCGCCTGCAGGCGGCAAGCGATTTCGCCGCTGGACAGTAGGGAGACGTTGAGGATGCGTAGCACCACGCTGTCGTACCATCGCACGAACACGTACCGCTGATGTTCGGTCAGGCCCGCCACCGCCACCGGGCGACCTTTCTCGAAGACAGTGCGGCCCTGGATGGTCCAGCTGATGCCAGTAAAGTTGCCGCTCACAGGCTCGCGGCAGCTGAACGACACATTCTGCCCTAAGCGCGGCCGCACCACGCTCCCCGCGGGCGGTGGCGGCGCCGTTGTCGCCGACAGCGGAAACTGCAGGGTGACCATGTCGTCTTCCTTATTGTCCATCGCGGCCGCAATTATGTCGTCCACTACAAAACCAGTACCGTTCAGAACAGCATACTAACACCGATAAAATTAAGGCCATGGCCATTTTGGCTTTAATGCTAAAATGGCATTATGCAAAAATGGCAAATTAACTGAAGTAGTAATTTAATCGAACTTATAATTTTAGGTACTTACAATTTTTAGGTAAAATTAATTCCTCTTAGGTTTTTGCAGTTTTTATCGGGAACATCGCTTGTGGAATACAGATGACCGCAATGCAGAAAAAAGCCGAGGTAAGATACAGAGTAGTGCACGATTATTTAAAAGGAATAAATAATAATAATTCACAGCACAATGACAGAAATATTTAATTGTTTGTGGAGTCGCCAAAAACTCGGTAAATCAATTAGAATGAACAGCAATTTCTATCAGTGCACTATACGAACGTGCCGCGTGCGACGCGAGGGGCGAGACTTGTACGAAAAACATTGTTTTCCGTCAAAAATCGCCCAATGTTAGACAGTTAACAGGCAGATTTTTTTTCACGTACGCCGTTGGTTAGACGGAGAATGCCCGTTCTTCCGCGCCGTGGAGGCGCTGCAAGGAGCGACGTCGCGAGGCCACTGGCACAGGCCGTACAGCAGCAGACCGGAAATAGCCGGTAACAGTTGCATTTCTTATCAGCTAACCTGGACAGTCGACCACTGACTGTGCTTGTACGATTTCATGCCTGCGCACCGACTGATTTTAGTATTTAAATGAATTTTAAACGGAATTGGTGTCGCTCCAATGGCTCTCTCTACAGAATTCCAGACTTATTACCACTTTGCGCTAATGTAAGTATGCTTTCCACGCTGCAGCGACGACGGTCACTGCACAGCGCAACGCAACGCATAACTGTCTTAGCTTCGCCTGTGGTAATCTTTCATGTTGCTTAAGCATAGTGTATACTCCAACTGGAGGGGCGGAGCTCCAGTCAAACTGATGAAATGAACAGGTTCAATTCGTCAGTTCGGACCTCCAGTTGCTTCAGTAGGGGCGTTCCCATCAGTTTCAGTTGGAGTATACCTCATGCTTTATAGCATCCCCTGACTGATGGATGGAACGGGTTCTTTCATGTATTTTATTACTTACTGTACCACAATTCCTGTATGTGATTAACGGTGCGAAAAAGCTAATAAGAAGCCGATTTAAGCGAATAATGAGGAATTAATCGAAGATTTTTTATTCCGGTATATCATAGCATCCCTGGAAATCGACGGTCGCCCGTACGGTTAGCACACGAGCTATGGCACTACCCGGCATTGACGCCATAAAAAGCTATTTGTTTGGGATTAAAAAGTTGCTACGTTTGGCTACCTTTTGAGTTATTACTTGAATAACTCCGTTTAGAACGGATGAAATGCAAGCGGTTGAATTGTTTAAAATAGCGATCATTGGAAATTTGGAAGTACAAATTAATGAGGCGATTAGCGTAGTTCATCACGTAACTCGCCAAATGTGCCGGGTGCGGTGATCTATCTATTTGGACTGTTTATTTAGACCGTCGATAACACACGAAAGATCCAGGCAACATTTTTCGCAATGTAAAGAAAGGGCTGATACGTACTTCCGTAAACGTTTCCAAGCAGAAGTTTTCCAAGTTTCAAGGTCACATTGAAACGGTTGAACCAACTGCGGGATCATGCCGGCACGAATCCGTTAGGACAAATTCAAAAGCAAAAATCATTTGAGCCAGTTGTGGACCAAAGGTTATTGGCGGTGTCAGTTTCTTTTGAAATGTTTTGATTAGAGATTACAGAACAAAAATAGAGAGGCCGCGCGTATTATACTTTCTTCCTGCAAAAAAATTAAATTTTTCGGAGCTGGTGATTACTGTAGGCGCATTTTTTTTATTTCATAAATACGAGTATGTACATTACATAACGAAAATAGTTAGTCACAAATTCACAGCAACAGAATCTCATATAATGCTGCCGCTCCTTCCATTGTTCCAAGTACACAGGTGGCGTTGCCTCGCTGAATTTCCAACGATATTCGCTGGCGCAGGAACTCATGGGAACGAGGTTCACCTGTTTGGAGCTGGAGTCGCTTCCCAATTTCTTTAATTAGAGCGATGGTCGACTTTCCTACGGTCCGAGAGTTTCGAAGGCTAATGGCGCGAAGATGTATCTTCCCAACAGATACAAGTACAGTCGCACTTTTTCATCTTCTTTTACTGTAGGTACATGTAATTACTATTTATAATGTACATGTAGATATATACCATTTATACTGTAGATAATTGTTGCCGTAATTATTCCTGCATATTTTAATGCTTAGTCATATCGCATGTTGTCCATTGGCTCAATTAATGAAAGACAACAGAACAGCCTGGGCTAAGGCGCGACGCTCAAATAGGTGGACTGCACGATCCACTCGTGGAGGTGTCGATGCGGCCGGAACCAGCACTCCACCGGGCCGATATCGCCCTGGTCAGCGTAGGTTGAATTCAGGTGGAAAGCGAACACGGCGCCCGGCGCGTTGTCTCTGATGCCGGAGTTGCTGACGGCGGTGCGGAATAGATCCGCCACGGAGTGCGCAAGCGGCGAACCGCGCGTCACGTTGACAATGGGCCGACCCAAGAGGTCCACGACAGTCCGCGTGTCGTTGGCGGTCCTCGTCCACGACGCCGGCAGATGCGAACTGTACGGCTCTTCAGCCGGCGCATCCAGCAGCCGACCCAGGTGCCGCCACATGAAGTGATGTTGCACATTCTCCGCCACCTCCGGCGCCAGAGGCAGCCGCACCCGGCAACTGATGTTGAAGTTGCCCCCGACGACCGACCGCTGCTTCGGTGGCAGCCCTTCCACGAAAACCTCCGAGGCCTCCGTGACGCGGGGAATCAAGGTGAAGCGCCGCAACTCGGTCTTTCTGGCCGCCTCGTCCAAACGGCAGACGACCTCTCCGCTGGACGCCAGGGAGACGTTGCGGATGCGGAGCACCGCGGTCCCGTCATCCAACTGCGCGAATTCATAATGTGAATGCGGCTGGGAGGCCGGCAGCGCCACCGGCTGGCCGCGTTCGAATACAGTTTGACCCTGGACGGTCCAGCTGATGCCGGAGAAGTGCCCGCCCACGGGAACGGGGCACCAGAACGACACAGTGTTCCCCAGATGCGGTCGCAACACGCTACCTGGCGATGACGATGGCGTTGTCGCACTCGGTGGGAACTGCAGCGTCACCATGTCGTCTTCCATATTTTCCTTCGCGCGCTCAATCATGCGAAATGCATTAACCTCTACAAAAATTAATTTTTCCGTTAAAAAGAAGAATTAATACATATTGACTTATTGCTAATAATTGTACATGCTTGGATTGTACTTACCGTACTTATACTTTCACTCAGTACGTACGTAACTGGAAGGATTATGATTCTGTTACCAAAGAATTACTAGCAAGTAGAAAATGTTCCTGAGTCTTTTATTTGCGTCGTCGTCTTGAATGGTTATCGCAGTAACTATCAAAATGTGAAATATAAATACTAATGGCCAATCTGTAAAAAGCCTGATAACTTCCACTTACTTCGTTACTGCTTACTTCTAATGTACCTGTAGGAATCCGCCACAGGACAGAGTCAGTAACCGTGGTCGTTTGTGTGGTGCGCGCGCTGCACCGAAGACCTGGCTGCCAAAAGCACAGCAGCCAGCCGTAAACCGTCAATGTACGGTGCATGGAAAGGAGCGAAACGCTGTACGTTACTTTAGATAAATATTATTATTTGGCGTACTTCAGTCCTCTTGTTTAATTCTGAAGGTATTTTGGATATTTTTATCTAAGAGCAAAGTTAGTGATGCATTTCGAAGTTCTAGTATCAGTAACCCGCACAATGATTCCTGCTGTTACATGATGTTGTTTTCAATTCAGCCACGAGAAGCACCATCCGGTTCATCCTGTGCTGAAAAACGAGCAACATGAACTTCAGGACGGCAGTAAAGCGCTGCATGAAAATCTCGTACCGGTTCCTAACGTCATGAGTTGCCACAGCCGTGTCCGACCATTTCGGCATAGTGACATTTCGGCATGTGGACATTTCGGTATACGGACGTTTCTGCATAATAAGTACTGTTGTTTTCTAACGTTTTCTTATGTATCCGTATATCTTCTTAGGTTTTCTTAGGTGTCGTAGGTTTTAGGTTTACTTAGGATTCTTAGGTTTATTTTTAGGTTTTCTTGGCTTTTCTAGTGTTCCTTAGTTTTATCAAATCCTCGCAATTTTTAATACGATTTTTCAAGGTTTCTACGTATCTTATGTCTTCCGACGTTCTAGTTTCTGGCTTTTGCATGTTCGGCATGTTTTGCTAGGTTTTAGGATTTTGAGCGCTGAAGATATTTTACTTACTCTACTCCATCCATCATGATTTTGTATGATTAGGTATCAGTGTACCTAGATTTTATGCCGAAATGTCCATATGTCGGAGCCTTTATCATGCCTGCGTCCAGTCACATTTGGACTATTGTTCGACTCTGTGGGCGCCGGCGTCTGTGGCACTGAAAGAAGGACTGGCTAAACTACAGCGCAAAGCACTGCGAGCCATGACTGGATACAAAGGCCCTTTCAAGCGGACCTTGAACCAGGAACTGGGAATCACTTCCATCCTCCATCGATGGAAGCAGAGCGAAGCGGTGTGGCTTTTTAAAATCTGGAACAAAAGCAAATTTCCTGTGCCGGATTATCTGTCTCGACTCGTGAACTTCCGGGATATGAAACAACACTACAACCTGCGGATTGGTAACCGTGTGGACACGAAAGTGAAAAAGAAGATCGGCGAGTCCTCTTTCGCTGTACGACTGAAGCAGCTGCTTGAACACGTGCAGAAGGTTAATGCGGAAATTTTGAACTCGGAAACTGTTGGGTTTTTTAAGTTTGCTTTAAAGGTGTTGGACTTCGAAGTGCTAGTTGGATAGCCTGTTTTGATCTTTCTTGTTTCTGTTTATTTTTGGTTTTCGACCAGGCAAAGCAATGTCATTTTAACACCTGTAATGTCATTGTCGAAGTCCCATGAATGGTTTGTCTGCTCCAGGAAGATAATAATAATACTAATAATAATGTCGAAATGTCCTCATGCCGAAATGTCTTATGCCGAAGTGTCCAATGCCGAAATGTCCCTATGCCGAAATGTCGGTACGCCGCGACAGCAGTACACAATATTATACCACCGCTGAGACGAAGCAATACGCACGGTTTTGATTTTGTTATAGCCTTTCTGGCGTCTAACGTCTCGCAGGTTGCTAGGGAACTCGTCGGTCCATCCTGCTGCAGAGCACATGGTACTGCGTTTCGGTCCGTAACTGTTAAGATCGTGGAGAAGTCTGCAAGTTGACAATAATGATAAGTTTAACTACGCAAAACATGGTGTGACATAGCAACGCATACAATTATGAGTTGTAGCGCCTTAATAAGCTGCCAACACGGGCTGTGACGAGGTGGCGACTAGAGGTAAATTTTATAAAGTTGTGACGCAGGATATGCCGGGAATGACAGCTAAATGTTACTGTACAGCCTATAATTATTAATAACTGGGACACTAGGATAAAATAAATTACGAAAATTTTTAAATCCTCGTCGGGATTTGTTTTTATGAAGTTTTTCTTAGGTAGCTTTTTTTCTGATTAAAACAAAGCCAGCAACAGTAACACTACGGCCGGAACAAAACTAAAACAGTCCCGAACGGAAAACGCGGCCCATCTTCTCTAACAGTCTTCCACTCATTTTAAATTTGCCTAGCAAACTTTTGGTACTGTAATATCCCTTTTCAAATACGGTAAGTTTGGGTTTGCCATCCGCCTGCGTGACCTTTGATAGTGTAGCTACGGGCACGATTCAAGTAAAACATGACCTTTTTTGAATTCAGGCCGTACAGTCGTTGGACGTGGTAGGTAACCGTTGTTCTGCGAAGCACTAATTTAGCGCCAATTTCAGCGTTTTTCTTCACGGAATAAGGTATAAGCCCGAGACGTTACGCTTAACCCTTCCAAAAAACAAACACAATCAATATGTTTGGCTACTGGCGACCGCTTTGTTGGTTATGTTTTCCGTTCTTCCAGCACTTCCCAGTTCCCAAGCCTTTCTTCTTGCCAGTATGATATTAATCGGTCGGGAGTCGGGACACTACGCATTCAGCAGTGTTGAGTCGAAGCAGACTTTCCACAGCCTTAATTAATGTTTACGGATCATGTGCGTAAACAGTAGCATGTGCGCGGCACCAGGATGGATCGATGAATTCCTTAGTAACTTACAAGAAAATCGCCTTAAAACGCTATTACAAAATCGAAACAACGCATACATCGCTTCGCCTCAGCGGTTAACACGTGTTGCAATCGCGACTCACGATGTCAGTAATAAATAGTTTAAAAAATTCCAAATACCTTCGGAATCCTTACCATGCAACATAATATATTAACGATTTACGGCTGGCTGCTGTACTTAAGCTTTTTCCAACCAAATATGCAGTGCAAGTCACAGAGGACGGCGGCAGTTACTCACTCGGCCCATTCGCGGATTAGTGGAGTAACAGGTACCAACCTTTAAAGGAGGCATTACGTCAACTGAGTGCCAGACTTTTTTGATGTCCGGTACCTGGCAAGGGCGTTGGTATTCTGCCTAATAATTAGTGTTATTATTGATCCGATCGGTTTCCCGTGTTGCATTTCGATTATAAGAAAATTCATATACGATCGTACCTTTAATTTGTTATTTCCCTTTCCATTGCCTACGTTTTTGAGTCCAATATAATTTGACTTGCCTTGCATTCTGAGAATTCACAATGTGTTCCGGAGAAACTACCGGAGACGCCGGTCGACGAGCCATCAGTAATAATACATATTTTATTATTTCAATAGTTAAGGGAAGTGACACGGTACATAGCACTACATGCATGAACTTGAACCCACGGAACTTTCGCTTTCGCGCACTTTCCTTATAAAAGACATCGGAACATTCTACTGATCACTTATTTGTTTAGATAACGGATAATGGTTACGATCAGTTAAGGATTTGGCCCGGTTCTCGTGGATGTGCACCCAGTTCGTGCATCCACGAGAATTTTCGCTGTCGCCCAAACCCTTTTTTGCATTGCTTTATGGTATTTTGTAGTCAAAAGATTTGTATACGTAGGCGTGAAATCCGTTGGCGAACGCAACATCCGGTTGGAAAGGTATGGTAGCGTCAAAATTCTAAAAAATTTAAATGCATTCAGGTGTACCAAAAGTCTCATTATAAACGCATCTGCTTCACATCTTGCACGTAAATGCACAAACACATGAAAATTGTCTTTACACCAAGCAGAGCTGCACCATTTTTTTCAAACTTTCAAATGATTTGAAAGATCACAAATTTGGTGCGAAATCCCTTAAATATTATTAAAGCATTAATTATGTACTTAATTGAGTTATTAAGTGTTATTGTATTTCAGTATCATTAGGTAATTAACTTTCTTAGGTCGCTTATCAACGAATTAATAACTTATCGAAATGGCTACGCGCAAGAGTATCGCGCGTGTAGTACTTTGACTACGCGCGAGAGTTTTTCGCGCAAAGTCAAAATAACTACGCGCGCGAGTTACCGAAATTAGAAAGTTATCGATTTTGAACTTACTATTATTATATCTGAATAAACAACCACGGTCAAAATTAATGTTATGCAAGTGTCCGAACAATTTCTTGCATATATACCAGTACTGTGTGCAAGCCGGCTTAATTTCGTATTACAGGCCGGCACAATTAAGCTGCCTACTGGTACTCATGACGGTTGTAATTCTTCATTTGGTACTATTTACTCCTCTAAAATGGACTCACCTTTGCTTTAAATTGGAGGTCGTTTTATGCCATATGAAGCAGCTGTAGAAGCTGTCCAAGATCAAGGACAACTGATCACCAAGTTTTTGCAAACCCTGGAGGAAACGCGAGGACATCGAAAACACATCCGTCCCATGCAACTTTCCCATACAGTTCCGCTCGCCCAATCTATAAAAAGGGAGGCGAATATCGCCCACACGGGAAAGACGAGCAGGCTACCCACAAGTCCATCACAACGACGCTCAGGAGTGGTTGCAAACCATACGTCCATGTGAAGGTTCTTAACGGTATGACGGAAATCGTACATCTGCCGGCGTGGAGGACCATAACCATGCGCTTACAAGCGCCATAGTCCAACATATCCCAGAGAACAGAAGACTGTCCGCAACGGGAGTTGACACCGGGCTCTTCATCACCCGCGCATCGCCTCGTACAATCGCGGGTACCATCAACGTGACGCGTCGGTCGATGGGAATGTTCGGGACAGTCATCACACAAGACAGTTTTAATCAAGGGACGAGAATTTGCAATGAGAAACGACTGGGGTGTCGGGAGGACACGATGCTAACGCAGGCAAACCTCGCTAAATAGTAAAATACCAAGACTACGTCAGCACTACAAAGTCAATGGTAATGCATAGCCTTCCGATTCCGGAAGTCGGCCGAGCGCTGGGCACTGCAGTTACTGGATCTTCCGCGAGAGTCATCTGAGGTCAGTGTCTGCTGTTTCTCATCGCGTGTGCGCACTGTACGATTGTCTGAAGCCTGCCGTTGTAAGGATCTTCTGCTAGACGGGACAACAGCCAACAGATCTTCTAAAGTTGCAACTATTTCGTTTGTTCTGTTTCCCGGATTCAAACGGTCATGTTGAAATTGAGTACGTCGCAGTCTACGGACAGCCGCCGGTGAGGAGCAACTACCTAATTTATGCGTTTGCATTTGCTTATGACCTACTGCTGCAAAACCTATCCAGACAGCAAATTGCTAGCCCGACCGAAAATTTCGGGAATGGTTTCGCGAAATCGCTATAACGGGAGTGTTGAAGCAACCGCCAAAAACTAAGGGGCGAAATACCCGTAGTAAGACAGTGATCACCTTTCAAAGCATGCGCGTTTCCGCACAAGAAGCCAAAGCGGAGGAGAAAAGCAGTGAAGCTGCCGCCTAAACGAAGAGATACTGCTCTCCGAACTCGAATTATGATTTTAGAATTATTATCTGTATAATGCTGCGGCAATGGTGCCAAATTGTAGTTTATTATTGCTCCTTTATGAAAATAGAAAACAACAAAACTATCGCGAATTTGTAGCTGATTCTATACAAGTTTTACTACAGGCGAGAGCTCTCGCGCGTAGACAAAGTGCTACGCGCGTGAGTACTCTCGCGCGCAGACCTGACCTTAACTTAATTACCTAATGATATTGACTTAATTAATACTGATTATTCTTATCAACGAATTAATTTTGTAGTAGAGAATGTGTATGACATGATTGAGCGCGCAATGGGCAATATGGAAGACGACATGGTGACGCTGCCGTTTCCACCGACTGCGACAACATCGGCGTCACCGTCCGGCAGCATGGTGCGACCGCGTCAGGGGGACACTGTGTCGTTCAGGTGTCCCGTCCCCGTGGGCGGGCATTACGCCCGCATCAGCTGGACCATCCAGGGCCGGGCAGTTTTCGAACACGGTCAGCCTGTGGCGCCCCATCCGCAATACGAGTTCACGCAGTTGGACAACGGGACCGCAGTGTTGCGCATCCTCAACATCTCGCTGGCGTCCAGCGGGGAGGTTGTCTGCCGCTTGGACGTGGCGGCCAGGACGACCGAGCTGCAGCGCTACACCCTGATCCCCCGCGTCACGCGGGCTTCGGAGGTCTTCGCGGAAAACCTGTCACCGCGGCAGCGGGTAGCCGTCGGAGGTAGCTTCAACATCAGTTGCCGGGTGCGGCTGCCACTGGCGCCGGAGGTCGCGGAGAACGTGCGACATCATTACATGTGGCGCTACAAAGGTCAACTGCATCATGCGCCAGCTGAAGTGCCGTACACGTCGCATCTGCCGGCGTTGTGGACGGGGACCGCTACCGACCCGCCCGGTTTGGTGGACGGCACTGTGGTGGGCGAGATATTCGGTCTGCCCATTGTCAAAGTGCGGCTTGATTCGCCGTACGCGGCGCGTTTATTCCGCACCACCGCTGGTGACTCCGGCATCGTCGACAACGGCTTCACATTCCACCTCACTTCATCGGAAGCTAACCTGGGCGATATCGGCCCGCTGGAGTGCTGGTTCCGACCGCATCGACACCTCCACGAATGGATCGTGCAGTCGGCCTTTTTGGATGTCGAACCATAGCTCAGGCTGCTCTGGTGTCGGCCGCTTATGAATCAAATGGACACCACGCATTATGAAATAGAGAACTTATTTTTATTTTAGCAGTTACCTGATGGTTGAATAATTAGTATTAACACTGATGGCTGAGTAGTTAGTATTAACACAACCACGCTCGTGCTCTGATCATGCAAAGAAGCAAATGTCCAGATGAATCTACTGCATTAGTAGAAACCGTATGTAGCGTGGCAATTTCTTTTCGAACACAGGATTTCTCGATGAAAAACGTAAGTAACAAGTAATTTGCTGTGTTTGAGCCTGAGCGTAGGTCGCTTATGCTGACCGTGGCCCGTATTCGCTTTTTCCACTTTCACCTCACCCACCTGTACCGCATACTTCCCAGCCCAGCTCATCCCCGGAAAGGCGGCCAACAACGAAAAGCAGTTCAGTGACACGAAGCAGAATAGCCGTTGAGACTCGAATCTTGAGCTCATATTATCTCCCAAAACTTCTGTGTTAAAAGCCTTGCACATTTCCGAACTTCACCGCACAATTAATAGCTCAAAAGAACGAGAACACATTACAAAAGTTTATTCTCAAGATTCCCTAAACATGTGGAGTTAAACTGTTAATTAAACTGTAAAGTAAAGTCCCTACTAAAGTGCCCGCGCTTGTACAGATAGATACTTGTTCTTACGTATTTTGATGGCTGTCGCTTATTAAGGTGAAAGATTATTTCATTCTCGGATATCTGTAAACCATCAAACGATATAACATCAGATTCTGCCTTTCTGCATTTTTTTCTGGTGAGCAGTTAGTTAGCTGAGCACATGCAATCGGATACTCCTCTTTTGAAGTCCTGTACTATTTTGTAGTTTGTACTATGTTTAGTGCAGTACTATTAATAGTAATACTATGTACTATTTTCACGATTAGTACTATTTTGTAGTAATATTACATGTTGAGCATTTTTTGTTTAGAATAATTATTGTTCGTTTAATTGTTACTCGTACATACTGTTTTATGCTTACGAGAGCCAATGCCCATTGCCCACTGGTTTCATCGAAAGCTCACGTGTTTGTTGAGAAATTTATTTATTACATTAGCTTGACGTAGATAGATATCGGCTTTCTTCAATTACGGTTGCACGAGCATGGTTTTGTTAACATTTATTAATTCTGCTAAAAATTACCATTTAAAATGAAGATAATTGTTGCCGTATTCATTCCATATTATAATGCGTATACTCGTATCGCATGTTGTCCACTGGCTCCACTGTTGACCTACAAAAACTGAGCCGTAGCTATTCGTCGACATTCAAATAAGCTGACTGCACGATCCATTCGTGGAGGTGGCGATGCGGCCGGAACCAGCACTCCACCCGGCCGATATCGCTCAGGGCAGCACCGGATGAATTTAGGTGGAACGAAAAGACGCCGTCCCGCGCATTGTCTGTTATTCCAGAGTCGCTGGGGGCGTTGCGAAATAGACGGGGTCCAAGCGGGTCGGTAGCGGTCGCCGTCCACCCCGCCGGCAGATACGACGTGTAGGGCTCCTCTGCGGGCGCATTCCGCAGCTCACCTTTGTGTCGCCACATATAGTGCTGTCGCACATTCTTCGCCACCTCCGGCGCCAGTGGCAGCCGCACGCAGCAACTAATGTTGAATCGGTCCCCGACGACCACCTCCTGGTCCCAAGGCAGGACTTCCGCGAAGACCTCAGCGGCCCGCGTGACGCGGGAATCAGGGTGAAGCGCCGCAGCACGGTCGTCCTGGCCGCCTCTTCCAAGCGGCAGACGACCTCCCCGCTGGACGCCAGGGAGACGTTGCGGATACTCAGCACCGCGGTCCCGTCGTCCAACTGCGCGAATTCGTAATGTGAATGCGGTTGGGATGCAGGCAGCGCCACCGGCTGGCCGCGTTCGAAGACGGTGCGACCCTGGACGGTCCAGCTGATGCGGGAGAAGTGCCCGCCCACGGGAACGGGACACCAGAACGACACAGTGTTCCCCAGATGCGGTCGCAACACGCTGCCTGATGGTGACGCCGACGTTGTCGCAGTCGGTGGAAACGGAAGCGTCACCATGTCGTCTTTCTTATTGTTCACCGCGCGCTCAATCATAACAAATACATCGTGCACTACAAAAATTAATTTTACCGTTAAAAAATTTAATGCGTGCTGACTTAATTACACATATTCGTAATTAGACTTACTACTGATACTTATTAACATACTCTGTACTTTTATTTCCACTTAATTAATACTGAAATTGTTTAGAACAATTATTTGGTGTCAGTACAAATTATTAATATGTGGAAAATGTTATTTGGTCTTTTAACTGCGCTCTTGTTTCGATGCTGTCGCAATACCTCTTAAAATGTGAAATGTAAATTTAGAGAAAAAAGTTCTTTTACCGGAGAAAGACGTAACAAGACGTCTTCAGTATCATTTTCATAGAATTTTAAAAAAATCCCACTGTTCAGATAAATATGGTCGGGAGCCGAAAAAATGCATACGGCACCGCAGCTCTAACTTCTTCTATATCTGTAAAAAGACTTTAGATGACTTCCATTTACAGCGTACTGCTTACGCCGCCTTACTTCTAACGTACCTGTAGGAATCCGCCCATGGTCAGAATTAGCATCCGCGGTTTTTTGCGTGGTGCGCGCGCTGCACCGAAGACCTGGCTGCCAAAAGCACAGTAGCCAGCCGTAAACCGTCAATATACGATGCATGGAAACTCGAAAGTACGGTTACTTTCGATAAATAATTATTATTTTGCGTAATTCCTTTCTTTTCGTTTAATTCTGAGGTTATTTGGATTTTATCGGAGAGCAAAGTTAATGCTGGCCTTTTAAATTCTAGTCTGAATCACCTGCACAATGATTCACGTTGTTTCATGACTTGGCTTTCAATCAGCCACTAAAAACACCGTTCGCTTCGTCCTGTGCTGGAGAACGAGCGGCATGAACTTCGTGACACCAGTAGAGCGCTGCATGAAAACGTAGCACAAATTCCTGACGTCATGAGTCGCGATAGCAGTACAGTACATCGTTTATCTATGCGCCACTGAGCCGATGCAGTACGCACTTGATTTCAATTGTTATTGCCTTTTTTTGGCGGCGATCATCTGAGTCTTCTCGAAGGTTGCTAGGGAACTCCTCTCGATCCATCTTTGGTGCAGAGCATAGTACTGCGTTCCGGTCCGTAACCATAAAGGTCGTGGAGAAATCTGCTTGAAATCTGCTTACAGTAATGATCAGTTTTACTATGCCGAAAATGATGTGTTAAAGAAAAACTTGTCGAATGTCATGGAAACTTATTTCTAAGTAGTTTTATATATTTATCTGCTGTGGGACCTCCGCTTGGATGCGTGGTACTGGTAGAGACCCCAGCTCAAAGTGACCTTGGAAGACGTTTTTAAACTCTATTGCTGAGACACTTTCTTTACGACAAACTCTAAAAACAAATGGCGGCAAACGGAATATTTACTCACAGTCTCTTTCAAATAATTAGCACGGGATAGGCAAAAGTTTTCAAAATTTGATCGCCCCAAAGCATTCATTAGGACGTTAGAAAACCATTTCCATACAAGAACGCGGTTCTTCAACTCGCTGGGAGTGGCAAGCCGTTTGTGTGTATAAACAATCGAACGGTGTACTATCAGCAACCTTTCTGCATTGCTCATTAGCTGACCACTTGCAAATGAATATTTCGGTTGTGATTTGTGAAATGTGTAGTACTACCTCACTCGCCTACGAGGTACGACAGTCAATGGCAACTGGTTCGGGATCCAAATCACGATGATGGGAAATTCTCCTCAATACGGGAGCTTGATGAAAACGCCGATACACATCGGTATTTTCAGCTACGGTCGCACGAAAATGGTTTTGTTAAGACTAATTAATTCTGTCACCAATTACCATTTATACTGCCGGTAATTGTTGCCGTAATTACCATTTATACTGTATAATTTGAATTTTATTTCTCAATATGTACGAGTACAAAGCGAGCTTCGCTCAACAATTATAATCGAATGAAGAATTTGTCCCAATTTACATGAGAAGGGACTGTGTATAATTATATACTGTACTTCAAGTATACCATTTATACTGCAGATAATTGTTGCCGTAATTATTCCATATTGAATTGCGTAGTCATATCGCCTGCTGTCCATTGGTTGCATTATTGGCCGCCACAAGAGCAGCCTGAGGCTTGAGCTATGGCTCGACATTCAAATAGGTGGACTGCACGATCCATTCGTGGAGGTTACGATGCGGTCGGAACCAGCACTCCACCGGGCCGATATCGCCTTGGTCAGCATCGGTTGAATTCAGGTGGAAGGCGAACACGGCGCCCGGCGCGTTGACGTTGATGCCCGAGTTGCTGACGGCGGTGCGGAATAGCCGCGCCACGGCGTGCGCAAGCGGCGAACCGCGCGTCACGTTGACAATGGGCCGACCCCAGAGGTCCACGACAGTCCGCGTGTCGTTGGCGGTCCTCGTCCACGACGCCGGCAGATGCGTTGTGTAAGGCTCCTCAGCCGGCGCATTCAGCAGCCGCCCCAGGTGCCGCCACATGAAGTGATGTCGCACGTTTTCTACGACCTCCGGCGCCAGTGGCAGCCGCACCCGGCAACTGATGTTGAAGGTGCCCCCGGTGACCGTCTCCTGCGACGGTGGCAGGTCTTCTACGAAGACCTCCGAGGCCTGCGTGACGCGGGGAATCAAAGTGAAGCGCCGCAGCTCGGTCTTCTTGGCCGCCTCGTCCAAGCGGCAGACGATCTCCCCACTGGACGCCAGGGAGACGTTGCGGATGCGGAGCACCGCGGTCCCGTCGTCCAACTGCGCGAATTCGTAATGTGAATGCGGTTGGGATGCCGGCAGGGCCACCGGCTGGCCGCGTTCGAAGACGGTGCGACCCTGGACGGTCCAGCTGATGCGGGAGGAGTGCCCGCCCACGGGAACGGGGCACCAGAACGACACAGTGTTCCCCAGATGCGGTCGCAACACGCTGCCTGACGGTGACGATGACGATGGCGTTGTCGCAGTATTTGGAAACTGCAGCGTCACCATGTCGTCTTCCATATTTTCCATCGCGCGGTCAATCATGTGAAATGCATTATACACTAGAAAAACTTATTTTACTGTTGCAAATAACAATTAATACGCGTTAACTTAATTATACATACATACCTAGATTGTAAATAAACTTATTACTTACTTATCTGTATACTTAATAATTAATACGTTAAGCAAACAGTGAAAGAAGATTTAACTTGTTAATGATTGATTTGATTGATTTGTTTTTTTTTGATTTGTATGCCGCAGTCGTTTACCAATAAAAGATTAATACGTAAATAATACGAATAGTTAGCTGTTATCTAAACAAATATTAATAGCACAAAATGTTATAGGTAAGTAGACTTTTTTGCGCCGTCGTTTCGATAGCTATCGCAGTAACTATCAAAATGTGAAATATAAGGGGCGAAAGTAAACGCGTTCCACCGTTCCCCTGTACTGCTGCCGTCACCCGCCTGGAGTGTGACGTTACGGCAATACATATGGCTAAATCTGGCGCAGTACGTAAGCGCCATGTTCAGCCACAACGTCAAACTCCAGTCGGGTGACGGCAGCAGTACAGGGGAACGGTGGAACACGTTTACTTTTGCCCCCTATATAATTTTAATGCTGATGGCTTGGTGATCGGTGTACATACTGGCATTTTGAAAAAGGTTTTCTACCGGGAAAACCGTAAAAAATACCATTTCGTACAGAATTTTTAACAAAAAACCCCGCTGGTCGGATAAATATGGCCCGGACCCGGTTGCGGAAAACGGCTAACGGTAGAGCAGTTCTACTAAATCTGTAAACAGGCTTTAAATTCCCTCCACTTACTACGTACTTCTAACTTGTAATGTACCTGTGGAAATCCGCCACTGGTCAGAGTTCGTAACCGTGGTCGTTTGTGTGGTGCGCGCGCTGCACCGAAGACCTGGCTGCCAAAAGCACAGCAGCCAGCCGTAAACCGTCAATGTACGATACATGGAAGGACAAGACCACTGTACGTTATCATGTAGCGTACTTCCGTTTCTTCTTCTTTAATTCGGAGGTTATTTGGATTTTATCGGAGAGCAGAATTAGTGCTAGTTAGTGCTTCCAGGTTCTGGTCGTCAGTCTCCCGCACAACGATTTATTTTGTTACATAATTGTGTTTTCAATCAGCCAATATAAAGCACCTTTCGGTTCCTCCTGTGCTGAAGAACGAGCGCCACGACGCCAGTAAAGCGCTGCTTGAAAACCTCGTACCAGTTCCTGACTTTATGAGTCGCGAAAGCAGTAAAGAGTTTAACTATACCACCGCTGAGACGCTGCAGTAAGTACTGTTTCGATTTGTTAGAGCCTTTTTGACGGCGATCATCTCGCAGGTTGCTAGGGAACTGATCGATCCATCGTGGTGCGCAGCAAATGGTACTGCGTTTCGGTCCGTAACCATTAAATTAAGGTCGTGGAGAAGCCTCGTTCAACTTCAAATCAGTTTACAAAAGGACCGACTCTATACATATACGACATGAGCTATGACTTATGAGCTATAGCAGTTACTGCTATTGTTGCCAGTATGGGCTGTTTCGAGCTGAAGAGTAAAGCTGCTTTTATGAAGTCATGACGCATGGAATACCGGGAAATTCAGGGATGACAGCTAAAAGTCACCGAGCAGTGTAGATTATAAAATAAATTACAAAGCTTTTCAAAAAGTCGTATGGGTTTGTCTTTTTTTAATTTGTCTTAGGTGACTCTTCATTCTGGCTTAAAAAATTGCAACAGCAAAATTATGCCGGATCGAAATTAAAACCGACTCGAACGAAAAAAGCGGCTCAGCCCTCATTAAGAATAAAGAAAAAGAATGCCTCGCGCTCCGCGCTCGGCAAAACCCTCTTGGACGGAAACTAATATTTGACCTCCCCACGATTTTTCTTGAACCTATGACCACAGGCTATTTTTTCACTTTTCTCATTAAATGGTCCGTGCGATTCCGATTTTTTCTACATTATTGCACTTATTGCTGCCTCCGTGGCAACGATTTAAGTATTTTACTCGTAAGAATGTACTACAGTACCACACTATCACTGTACCAGTATCTAAAAAACGTCGTTACATTAAGTACTCTATTTTTTTCTATACTTAAGAACCAGTCAAAATTTCTTCTGACCAACGCTTTCAAAACAAAATCAAAATTCAGAAGGCAAACCTATGGAAAATTAGGAATTTTTCAAGACTAAGCTTGACTTAAACTGACCACGCGTTGATTTATCTATAAAAACCCAGGAAAAATACGTTTTGAACGGAAACCCTCTTGGACGGAAACTAATATTTGACCTCCCCACGATTTTTCTTGAACCTATGACCACAGGCTATTTTTTCACTTTTCTCATTAAATGGTCCGTGCGATTCCGATTTTTTCTACATTATTGCACTTATTGCTGCCTCCGTGGCAACGATTTAAGTATTTTACTCGTAAGAATGTACTACAGTACCACACTATCACTGTACCAGTATCTAAAAAACGTCGTTACATTAAGTACTCTATTTTTTTCTATACTTAAGAACCAGTCAAAATTTCTTCTGACCAACGCTTTCAAAACAAAATCAAAATTCAGAAGGCAAACCTATGGAAAATTAGGAATTTTTCAAGACTAAGCTTGACTTAAACTGACCACGCGTTGATTTATCTATAAAAACCCAGGAAAAATACGTTTTGAACGGTAAGCTTGTATGAATATAGAGATAGAGATAAAGAAAAAGAATAATCATTAAGAATTAAGAATAAAGAATAGCCCTCATTAAGAATAAAGAGGGCTCATTAAGAATAAGCCCTCATTAAGAATAAAGAAGCTATCATTCGTATCGGAATGTTTTATTACGTTTTCCTGTTTTGAAAGTATTGGTGGCCCAAATGTCATGGCGCCATGACATTTGGGCCACCTGACACTTGGGCCACCGTACATTTGGGCCACCAGTACTTTCAAAAACAGGAAAACGTAATAAAACATTCCGATACGAATGATAGCTTCTTTATTCTTAATGCACGTAAAAAATTAAATATTGGCATATTAATAAAAGTTCTGCAACTTGCAGCATTAACCCGGCAACGTCTGCTAGGTGGAAAAACCACCAGTAAAGTTCGCCAATTTTTAAAACGCCAAGACTACTGTTATTGCCTGGGTTACATATGCTTTAGATAGAGCAAAGATAACTCTTTGCATAGTGAATTTTAGTTTTTTGATAAAACACACCATAAAAAACCTACATTGCTTAAAAAACACTGAAAAAATAACGTAAAGTTCTACGAAGTGTATCTAAATCGGCTGTTATGATAAAAATATGGGATTAAATTAGTGATAACTTCATGTGGGTATCTCACAATTTCAGTATCAAACAAAAGTCTGCAGCTCTTCTGTAAAAAACTGTGGATTTTCAAAAACAGCTGGTGGAAATTCCACCGCTTGGGCATTGGCGTAGGACAGCAGCATGCTGCCTGAACAGGCACAGTGACCAGAGCCGCACACTTCATATGATTCAGCCGTTGCACACTAGGAGAGTAGCCAAACATAACACCGTCAGCTAACTGATCCAAATGTCGAACAATTAAGGACATCTGAGTGCGTTTATAATATCATAAATGGTAATAAAACATTTTTTTTAACATATCACAATGTTTTCATCGACTGCAATAGGTAAACAAACAACAAAACGACGTGGTGAATCCCTGGTGATCGAAGAAGCCAACCATAAATATGGCTGGCTGTGATCAGTGTTGTGCACATGTAAACTGGCGCAGCCCACCATGACCCTGTTGCATACTGACCGGATATCACACATTTTTTTGATTATAAATTCAACCATGAATCTTTTCATGATAAATTAAATTGCATAAGCTAACCATCGTAAACAGCTACCACAGCCAGGTTGATTCGAGTAGATTAAGTAGACACAACGTTGTGTACAAGGGAATTTGTGTGGTGTCGCACCGGCAACCACCTTGCCCACACCGTACGTATTGTATAACGTCAATGCCCAAGCGGTGGAATTTCCACCTACCCTTCAAATTTTAAACTACTGCAGCAAAAATTTTGAAAAAAATAGTTTAAGTTCATTATATTATTGTTATTCTATGGTATGAATTTCAACTTTGACAAAAAATTCCTTGATACCTCGGGCATTGCCGGGTTAACAACGTACGAGTAAGTACACAAGATTCGCAAACAAGCGTGCATTAATATTGTATTATGGAGTGTTTGTAGGCATATAAGCGGATACACATGGGGCTGCATGGGTTCGATCAATGCACTCTGTAGCAGCATAAGTAAATCGAACTCATGCACTGACGATGCGAGCAGTTGCCGTTAAATTTACTCCGCATCCTTCTGCTTATCAAACATCTTCCTGATCAGATTTCTGTTTGATTAAAATTTCAATTAATACATGGCGCTAAAAACCTAAGAAACCTAAGAAAGCTGAGAAACATAAAAATACAGGGAAAGAAAAGAGTTACAAGAGACCGTAATGTGCGGTGGGCCGGTGGCCTAAGTGTCAGATGGCCAAAATGTCAAGTGGCCCAAATGTCAGGTGGCCCAAGTGGCAGGACACCCAGCCCGTCCACTCTAGCAGTCTTCCTCTCACTTGAGATTTGCGTAAAAACCTTTTGGTAATTTCCGTTTTCAACATTAAAAATAAGCATTACATCATCAGCTGACTGCCTGGCTTTTGGCCTCGGGTACCTGGCGGCTGGCGCGGGCGTTGGTATTTTGAATTTTTGACTGGTAAGAGTTATTATAATAAACTGACAGGTAATAAAGTGCCGTAAATACACATTAATTAATCTTTTCAGCGAAATGTGCATTACAGGACTGAGCGCGCAATGGACACACCATGGTCACGCTGCTGCTTCCACCGGCTGCGACAACGGCGGCGTCACCGTCTGGCAGCGTGGGGCGGCCGCGTCTGGGGGACTCTGTGTCGTTCCGGTGTCCCGTGGCTGTGGGCGGACATTCCGCCGGCATCCGCTGGACCGTGCGGGGCCGTGCCATCTTCCTGAACGGTCAGCCGTTGGATCGGCCAGCCCAGTCTGAATTCGCCCAGTGGGACGATGTCGCCGTACTGCGTATCCGAAACGTCTCCCTGGCGTTCAGCGGTGAAATCGTCTGCCGCTGGGATGAGGCGGCCAGGACGACCGTGCTGCGGCGCTTCTCCCTGATTCCCCGCGTCACGCGGGCCGCTGAGGTCTTCGCGGAAGGCCTGCCGCCGGACCAGGAGGTGGTCGTCGGCGACAGATTCAACATTAGTTGACGGGTGCGGCTGCCTCTGGCACCGGAGTTCGCCGAGAATACGCGACATCACTACATGGGGCGACACCAAGGTGAGCTACGGAATGCGCCCGCAGAGGAGCCCTACACGTCGTACCTGCCGGCATTGTGGGCGGGGACCGCTAGCGATCCGCCCGGTTTGGTGGACGGCATTATGGTGGGTGAGACCTTTGGTCGGCCTATCGTTAGCCTGCGGCTTGATTCGCCCCACGCGGCGTTCCTTCTGCACTGCCGTTATCGACTCCGGCATCATCGACCTCGTCTTCACTTTTTACCGGACTTCATCCAGGGCTACTCTGGGCGATATCGGCTGGGTGGAGTGCTGGTTCCGGCCGCATGGACACCCACACGAATGGATCGGGCAGTCGGCCTTTTTGGGTATCAAACTATAGCTCAAACTTCTCTGGTTTCCGCCATTGGCCAATAACGGATTAAATGGACCACACGCGATACAACGCGGAAGTGCAGTTGTATGTCCTCGGAATATTTAACGATTTGGGAGACAGCGAAGACTTTTTCTTAGTTTTCAGATTGGCTGTTCGGGAATGATTGGGCCTAACGTTGTTTCTCTTGGCAGCTCTGCTATGACTTTGACAATTCTAAGTAAACTATTTTATGTAAAGCAGTAGGTTTTCTTAGGTTTCTTAGGTTTCTTAGGTTTTCTTATCCTAGGGCCTAGGTGTTTTGATGTGCTTACTGTTCTAGGTTATTAGATTTACTTGTTTTCCCTTATGTCTCTTATGTATGTGTTTATTAAGTTTTACTTATTAAGAAAACATTGCTGGATCACAGGCTCGCAGTTAATCCGTATTAGCGTAGTGAATGCAGTACCGATATTAGCTGAAAATCGAACGCAGTAATTAAAATCAGTGGTGGCAAAAATGAATGGTGGCCGAAAAGAATGGTGGTGTGAGGAGAGAAGCGGCTCACATACAGCGACAAAATCTTTCAAATGATTTCAACGTATTGCGCCGTGGTGCAGTGGTACTGCCTACGCGGATCTAACGACGTAGCCGGGGTTCGATTCCCCCATCGGCGCCTTTTTCAGCCGTTTCTCGGTTTCCCTCGGATTGCGCCCTGCTTAGATGGTAGCAGATCACGGTTCGATCACGGACCTATGGTATGAGACTGGTGTGCTAACCTCGAACGGGAGGAACAGAGCAAAAACGAATAAAAAGATAAAACGAATGGAGAATGCGGTGAGCCGGAGACGCCGCTTAAAGGATCGCTTAGTCTCGCTACGAGGACGTAGCGAAAGCTGCAAAGGGGGTGTGAGCGGAGAAGCGGCTCACGCACAGCGATAAAGTCTTTCAAAGGATTTCAACGTATTGCGCCGTGATGCAGTGGTACTGCCTACGCGGATCTAACGACGTAGCCGGGGTTCGATTCCCCCATCGGCGCCTTTTTCAGCCGTTTCTCGGTTTCCCTCGGATTGCGCCCTGCTTAGATGGTAGCAGATCACGGTTCGATCACGGACCTATGGTATGAGACTGGTGTGCTAACCTCGAACGGGAGGAACAGAGCAAAACGAATAAAAGATAAAACGAATGGAGAATGCGGTGAGCCGGAGACGCCGCTTAAAGGATCGCTTAGTCTCGCTACGAGGACGTAGCGAAAGCTGCAAAGGGGGTGTGAGCGGAGAAGCGGCTCACGCACAGCGATAAAGTCTTTCAAAGGATTTCAACGTATTGCGCCGTGGTGCAGTGGTACTGCCTACGCGGATCTAACGACGTAGCCGGGGTTCGATTCCCCCATCGGCGCCTTTTTCAGCCGTTTCTCGGTTTCCCTCGGATTGCGGCCCTGCTTAGATGGTAGCAGATCGTGGTTCGGTACGTCCACTTCGCCTATGAGAATGGTGTGCTAACCTCAAACGGGAGGAACAGAGCAAAAACGAATAAAAAGATAAAATGAATAGAGGATGCGGTGAGCCGGAGCCGCCGCTTAAAAGGATCGCTTAGTCTCGCTACGAGGACGTAGCGAAAGCTGCAAAGGGGGTGTGAGCGGAGAAGCGGCTCACGTACAGCGACAAAATCTTTCAAATGATTTCAACGTATTGCGCCGTGGTGCAGTGGTACTGCCTACGCGGATCTAACGACGTAGCCGGGGTTCGATTCCCCCATCGGCGCCTTTTTCAGCCGTTTCTCGGTTTCCCTCGGATTGCGCCCTGCTTAAAGTGGCCAAAAAGATTGGGCGCCCTTGATCGCATGTATCCTTGCTGTCGCTGGAGATGCTGCTCCCACGGATAACCATGTAATCATAACCGTAATTATGATTATGGAGCGCTACATATTTCGATGGCCCGACGTGAACCTTTTCTATACGGTAGTCTCCAATGGACAGACATCACTTTCACATGCTTTGAATCAACAAAATACTCTGTACTTTATTCAGTTGTTAATTCGATCGCTATCACTCAAAACTTTAAAAACGCTTAAACTGTCACTCAAAACTTTAAGTTTTCTCGTTTCTTTATTTATTTGGCCTTACAATCTGACTAAATACAGTACACGTATCATGTATGTATACAGTGAGCTGTGGTTAGGTATCGCACAGAATTATATCTACATTGCACACGCTGTACACGCTTTAATACAGTGACCAGAAAAGCCGCCACCTAGGGTTTTATCTCCACCTCCAGATTTGTGGACTGCACGATCCATTCTTGGAGGTGTTTATGCGGCCGGAACCAGCACTCCAGAATGCCACGATCCCCCAGCCGGACCACCGAAAACTCGAGATTAAAGATGAACGACCCGCCCTCCTCGTTCTTTAGGGGGCCCGGGTCGGCGGTGACCCTCCGCCGCGTCCACCCAGCCGGCATTCCCGGCGTCATGTACTGCGCCTCGCGCGTCATATTAACCAGCCAGCCGTTGTGGCGCCACAGATAACGCCCGTCCAGATCCTCCACGACCTCCGGCGAAAGCGGCAACCGCACCGGGCAGCTGATCGTGAGACTAGCGCCGACCGCCGCCTCGTGGTGCGACGCGAGGGGGGTCGCGAAGACCTCGGCGGCCCGCGTAACCCTCGGGATCAGGGTGAAGCGCCGCAGGATGGACTTCCGGTTACCCTCTTCCAGGCGGCAGACGATCTCCCCGCTGGACGCCAGGGCGACGTGGCGGATGCGGAGCACCGCGACGTCGTCCCACTGGGCGAATTCGTAGTGGGTCGACAGGTCCACCGGCTGCCCGTGCTCGAAGACGGTGCGGCCCTGGACGGTCCAGATGATGCCGGAGGGGTTCCCGCCCACGGGGAGCGGGCAGGGGAACGACGCGTCCTCCCCCAGATGCGGTCGCAGCACGCTGCCGGACGGAGGCGCCGGGGTTGTCGCCACCGGTGGAAACGGGAACGGCAGGGTGACCAGGTCGTCCTCCTTATTTTCCAGCGCCCGCTCCATTTTGAAATCCACTGCAAATGGGACCGTTGAATGCATAGAATAATTACTTGCGATTAGCGGTTGTCAAGCAGAAGTAATGAGCAAAAGGTTCGCGAGTAGTCGTACTGCGCGTTTCGACTGTACCTGTTTCATTCCACGAGTGGTTCCCGGTCTTCTGTGACGAGCAGGCGCTGCACTGGATGTCGGGCTGCCACACGCACAGGCCGCACAGGAGCCAGCCGAAAATCACCCGTATCCGCAGCATGGAAAGAATATGATTGAAGCACGTACTAAACGGGAAATGTGCAAACATTTCCCTAAATAATCTTTCGGGTTCCGACACACTATACTAGCCGGTCGCGTACACTGTCCAATCTTCTCGGAACTGTCTGCTGGTTACTACCGCCAAGACGATATACAATACAGCAGCACTGTCATTATTAATACTGGGCTATTATATTGTGGAGGCATAACCGTCTGTGATGAGAATGTAAGAGAACGTCATCGTTTTTGGTTGCTAAGGCATTTTTAGATCGATATACTGAGTGCGTTGTACTGTGTTCGTTGCATAGTAAATTAACGTTGTGGAGAAGCCGGGTCGAGACAAATCCACAGCTAAATCAATAGCATGCCGAGCACGGATAAATATTTCTTTATGACGATGAATAAACACTAGGAAGATTTGTAAGTAACATACTGCGAATCTGATCCCGCTCGCATAAGGGCCATGCATTTCTGTAAAAGGTCCGGCTACATGGGACCAAATTCAGGTACATGCATGCTGCACGGGATCTGTCGCTTTCGCTTCAGCCTCAAAACATTTCTCGCTTTGTTTTTGCTGACCTACAGAGTGTATAGTGCAGCCAAATGATTTGTACAGCAGTATATAGATTGGCGCGAAAACCGTTTATACGCTCAACATCCAGTTGGGACTGTTTTGGGTGAAATATTATTGCAAAAAAGGTTAATAGTGCAAATGCAACAAGTACATTGTCAATTTGACTGTTTGACTTGATTGGTAAAGTATGATGTGATGTGTCAGCATAATGGAAGATTTGAGTATAATATTGTCAGTTAGGGATTTTGTGTTCTTGCGCGTTTCACCTGCTTTTCCGGGTCTGCAGGAAAACTGCGCTGGCTGCAGAATCCTCTTTGGGTTGGGTGGTGTTTTGGTGGGTGGTGTTTTGGTTCGGCGCCGTATCTCCAATGAATGCCGATACTTCCGGGTTCTGTCGTGAGCGGTGGCAGCAGCCACCGGATAATATGCTGTGTGGACATTGTTTCCTTTTCGTATTCTGCATTTTAATATTCGTCAAAGGATGTGCATATGTTTCCTGTGTTTTCGTTTTTGCCGATCAGCGGTCAACTTGCTGACCAAAGCATTACTCCAGTTTTGAAGTATATAGCATACTATCCGCCGAACGTTTCGCTTTTTGTTGGCTGCAGTTTGCGTAATTACTCTAGAGCCAAATGGTATTCATGCTTATAAGGATTCCTGCTCAATGACGCCACCTGACACACGGGTCTTCCGCCGGCGCCGATTGTACACCCTGGGAATCAAATACAGCACACCGCGGGACCGCATCATGTAGTGCTCGCGGACATCCGCCGCGACCTCCGGCGCCAGGGGCACCCGCACCCGGCAGCTGAGTTTAAAGCTGCCGCCGACCACCGCCCGGTGCTGCTGCGCCAAGTCCGTCTCGAAGACCTCGCTGGCCCGTGTGACGCGGGGGATCAGGGTGTAGCGGCGCAGCACCACCTCCTGCAGGTGGCAGACCACCTCGCCGCTGGATGCCATGGAGACATTAAGGATGCGTAGCACAGCCACACTGCCGTTCCGCTGCGCAAATTCGTAGTCCGGATGATGGGCCACCGGTTGACCCCGCTGGAAGACGGTCCGCCCCTGGACGGTCCAGTGGATGTCGGAGAGACGGCCGCCCACGGGCACCGGGCAGTCGAAGGAGGCATTTTGTCCCAGACGCGGCCGCACCATACCGCCCGCGGCCGCCGATGGTGGCGCCGTCGTTGTCGCCGCCGACCGAAATTCAAACGTGACCAGGTCGTCTTCCTTTGCAGAGCCTTCAATGACCTCCTCCAGAGGCTCCCATTTCGTTAAATCTAAGCACCAAATAATGTCAGTGTTTGCTGTATTCTCCTCCAATTACAAACAGAGTTGTCGTACGAGTTGTCTAGTATTAAATATTTTGTTAAATATCATGTTTCAGCGCAATCTTCGCGATTAATATGTGCTATTGGTACCTTATTACGCTCGAGTAGAAATTACGGGACAGGCTTGTCAGCCCACTACGAACGCCGCATTGCGTTGAAGGCTGCGCATTTTCATAAATGTTGCATTTTCATAAAACGTCAGCTGACAACTGGACGGTAGTCACGGTACCTATGGTAACTGCCGATTGGTCAGAATCAGTGACTGCGGTCTTCCGCGTACTGCAGGCGCTGCAGCGAATGTCCCGCTGCCATAAGCACAGGGCGCACAGCAGCCAGCTGTGAAGCGTCAATATCCGCTGCAGAGAAGAGAAAAGATGGGACCACATTATAGCTGACCCTTTTCCGGTCGTAATTTTTTGGTGGTGTCCCGGGTGTTGTAACCGTATTCGGACGTACGTTAGCGCTGCGGATTGCATGGGAAACCAGTAAGTACTTATTAAGCACAGTATTTAATGATGACGAGCACGGGAAAATACAGTGATAATTAATTATATGGCAGCGATTTTAGACAGTAAGTAATTATTAAGATAAGCCTTAGCAACGGTTTGTAATAGCCCTCTGTATTGGATTGCTAAGGCATCCAACGATGGGCACTTGACACTGAAGCGGATATTATTTTGTTACCTAAGCGGCTCCCCATTTTCTGGCTACGTGAATGTGGCAAGGTTACCAGGAGCGTCGCATGTTACGCGCACTTATCCACAGCTGGCCAGTCTGCTCCTCCAGGTGACCTCAGTTTTTTGGTGCAGGGTATTGCAACTTTTAATAAGCATCACATACAAGTACATACTGAGTACTAAAACAAAATTCATAACAAAAACACTTCTTCAATGCTCTCCTGCTCGGGGATCGTACCCATGACACATAACGCGTTTCCCCGTTGCATCTGAATAGACAGCCGCTGTCTAAAAAACTCTTTTGCCCGCTTCTGGCCTGTGGCGGAAGCCATGCAGTTGCCGACCTTCCCCACGAGTTTTTTCGTTCCGCCTCCCCAGGGTCCGTAAATTTCCAAGGCGGCAGCTACTAGATTGTATCTTGGTTGTAGCCAGTCGTGTTTCACAACAGTTTTCTTCTCTCCGCCTGCTCCGCTGCTGCACCGACGCACACGGAAGTACGGTCGATATACGACGCGGCGAGTGGGTCCACGCAGGTTACGTCAATAGCCAGTGGTTTTCCCCGCTCCCACGGGACGAGGGTAATCACATCTGGCCGTTTTTTATCTTTCACAGACAGACCTTTTGGCTCCATTCTGGCCGGAAAACCTGCGGTCTTCAAAGCACGGGTGAATTCTCCACTGATTCCATCGTGTCGTGGCAGTTTTTTGGTTCGTTTTTCCTCTGGACCCGTTATGTGTGCCCGTGTATTTTGCTATCGTTTTTGCATGATCTGCGTAAAGCATTCGGACTGCGTTGCGAGACAACCATTGGTGTCGAAGACACCTGCAGTGCGACCAAGTAGCTGTAATAATTTATTGTGTCAGGAATCTGGCGAAATCTAACAAAATTCATAATTATACAGAGCGTCATTAACGCGCAATCATCACAAATTCACAACAACACCGTCTGGAACTACACCGTGTGCTGACGATATTGACCGTTACTTCCTGGTCAGATATTAAAAAGTACATTAATATTTATCTCAAATGCAAAGAATTTATCAGATGAATAGGTTTATCATACAAATGCATTGCTGAATTGAATTTCTGTTTCTCATTGTGATAGTTTTGTAGTGTCGCAGCAGTGTTTAATGGCTGCTTCCTAAGCGCCAGCATCGCGTTAGTTTAGGTATTTCTTGTACCTTTTCGCAAGGAATAAACACCTGTCTTGTACAGTTGTCTGTGCATGATACGTCAGGCATTTGCCGCATGGCCATCCATGATGATGAAACGTATTACGCCGTCCACACATTCAGTTGCGTAAATAAAACTACTGTACCGCTTTACACGCACTCTACAACGTTGGAGTGGGATCAGCGATCCTTCCCATGAACAGAGGAAATTCAGCATTATTGTCCCAGATGATCAGCAAAAATGGCCGATTGGCTTCGAATGCCGGAATATAGTTGCACGTGTAAACGCTTCGCAAAATTGTGACAGTTGCTGCCTTGATTCCGTATTCATCGACATCTGAAAGTTAAATTACGTTGCGTAGAAATCGGCTAAGCACAACATGCGATTACTGATATTACATCTGTGCGAGTTTATATATTATCAACTTCAATTGCCACTCTTTCGGAATTTCGGGAACTCGGTATTTTGAAAGTGATTTACCTCGAATAACTGGACATCTCGTCAATTTATCGAAATTTAAAAAAAGCATACGAAAGCCGGTACTGCCGATATTACAAATCTTAAGCGCTGCTACTATAATAATACTATAACAGATCTGTGAAGTGTGTGGAAATTATAAATAATTATGCTGCATAATTATTGAGAATGTATTTGTACGTACCAAACATGGCATTTTGCGCAAAGTCAGCCACCTTCGTCTCCGCCGGTTTTTCGAACATACCCGACATATTCCAGGATGGTCGGTACATGTCAGCGAGACCCAACGCTGTCGTACACGGTATCAAGTCGGTCGTGGTGGAAATGCGGAATTTCGGCAACGTTACCATAATTTCGGAAATGCTGCTCTTATTCCGCCATTCGACCAGCTCACCGCCCGATAAACGGTTTTCCAGCTGTCGCAAACAGTCCGGACCCTCCTCCGGCAACAAGAACATGACACTGTAGTGGTTCCCCTTAATGTCCAATATCAACACCTTCGGATCCAGGGGCGTCAACTCGGCGTTCTCGTCGTCCACATTGTACGAGCGAAAGTCGTGCTTCTCCGAATTTAGAAAAGGTATAAGGCGTTCCCGGCCGTCGGCCCAATAGAACTCTCGGTGGCAAGCGGAATCCGGATCAAACGGAAAGTCCCACTCTCCGGAAAAGTCAATCGTCGATAGCAGAATTAGATCGCTTTTCCGAACCTGGTCTAACTGCAGGCGCGGCAGAATATCATGAATTTTCCATGACGAGTGGCATTGTAGGAAGTTGTTAACAGCTTCGATAGTTTGTTGCGGATCAGATTCGAAGGGTACGCCGACGAATTGGATGTCCTCATAGATTTGCAATGCATCACGGTAGGCGGCGGTCAGTGTCGCGCGCTGGTCGTAAAACACGGCGTTGGCCTGAGTAAAACCGTTGGCTTTCGGGGAGAACAGTTCCTCACACAGCTCCTTTATGGATCGACCGTTAGGGCATATCAGTCGCCACAGGCGCTCATGAATTTCGCCCTCGGTACCCAGTAACAGACAAGCCAAAACACTTTCCACTGAATATGGGGAAATGATCAGATTGGACGTAGATGACACAGTATCAGCCGCAGCTTTGTACAAATCCACAGCAAACGCCAGCTCACAGCTCTGATCAGTTTCCCTGCTCATCTTTCAGCATAAACATAACGGCGGATGCCGTACAGATACGTGCAGCTTGATTCGATGTTTCAGAGGATAATCAAGATAAAAACCACGCGGTATGTTTGTTGGTGAAGCAAGGGGAATCGGGATGTGTCGATAAGTACGGATTATGGATATGACTGTGACATATGTCTCATGGTTAGTATCAAAATTTGTCGAATGCCTTAGAAGCAGAGATCTGCAAACTCGGAAGCACGTACGTCAAGTCAAGCGCATACTGCCTGAAGGGAATAGCACTAGCAGGCAGTAGAACAGATCGATAAAATTGTGAAGTTGCGAAATTGTTGTTAAATATGCTGCTCGAGATACATGCAGCACTAACGCGGTGGTGTTGCATTCACGCAGAGTTTCTACAGCACTGCGTAGATTTACGGATTTACCGGTATACTGTATACTCTAGTGTTTAGTGTATGCGCAATTTCGCATGTGTGGGCGCCTTGTACAGATACTGTACATATAAGCACTAACTACCTTTTTTAATATGTACATGTACTGTTTAATATGTCCATGTACATTTACGTTATTAGTCTTTTTAATATGTACATACATGTATCTGTACTGTTTATTATGTAGTACAATTGTACCTTAGTTGTAATGTATACTGTACATGTACAGTTGAACATGGACAGTTGTTGTACAATAATGGGCAAAACTTTTTCAATCGGACGCAATGCCCATTGATGGACACTATTTCACTCCGTGCCTAAGCGTTATGTACACGTATATACTGTACATCACTAAGACCACGAGTAAATATGTAATATAACTGTATATTTGTATAGTGTGTTCGCATCTCTGTCACTCTATAAACTGTTATGCTAATAAGATTTTCTGCTTACGGCTGCTGTCCCGGAAAACAATATGCGAGCAAACTGGGCAATAACTGATCATTACTGTGGGCACTGCATGCACTGCTTTTGCCCGAACCCCATTCGCTCCCGCCAAGAAACTTTTCCCGGAGGCGTTAAAGCATAATTTCGCAGAGTATCCCGAATTTTTAACGGCATAGCAGCTGAACGATTGGCCTGAGTAGCTTTGTGGGTTTGGAAAAGCGACTATTCTGGTGGAAAGCCGCTCCAAGCTCCCTCCATGATAGAACCGTCTTCCTGTTTGCTCTCAGTAGACGAAGGAGGGCTGTACTGTACTTTCGACTGGAAATAGCTACGGTTTGTTCAGTGCGATTGAGATAGTTGTGAAATGCCATAATCGCTTTAACTACCAGGTCGACTGTTTCCGGCTCGCACTGCAAGGGCGCGGTCAGTATGCGCCACCGATTAACCAACAAACCGAACGCATTTTCCACGATCATCCTGGCGCGACGCAGCCAGTAAATAAATATCCGACTCGCGTCATGTAAGTTGGTTTTCGTGATAAGACCTCATCAAATTTTTTTTAAGCGGAAATGCAGCGTCCATAATAAAAAGATAAGGAAGCGCGTAGTCGGTGCCTGGGAGGGGACTGAAAGGGCCAAGTGTGGCAGTGTCCGTATATGATTGCGGAATATACCCGTACTATGCTGACTAAAAGTGAAAGTAATAACTTTATTTAACTATAACTTGATTCACACAACAAGGAGGAATAACAATGAGATGGAAAGCAACAGGAAATGGTAGACCGATCGCTGGAATGATCGACATCAGACACAGCAAAACAACACCTTATATCCAACTGCAACCGTGTTACAACAATTCTAGAAAGTTCGGTAACTTTCATGATGACAATAAACATGAGAACAATCTCTTCGATTGTCAAGCGTTATGGCCAAAGCCAGAGCGTGCTCATCCGTGCACATACATTCAGTTATACAAGCTGTAATAAAACGCATCATGCGCAAACACAAGTTCAGCAATAAAGCTCATAAAAACGGTCGCCTTTCAAGTGACCGCTATGCGTATACCGGCGTAACAGGGCCTTCCGTTGTCGGTGCAGCTGTGTATGTTTTCGCCAAATTATACTGCAAAAACACACTCTGCGCAACCTTTTCTTTCTGATCCGAGAACGTTCACGTAACAAAAAAGCAACTCAAAAATCAGGAGAGATTGTTGAGATGTTATTTTTAATTGCATGCATTTTGGTGAAATTATGAGCAACAAGCAGCCGAAATGTTTATTAATTTAAAAATCCGATTTGAAATCAAGGTTAGCGGATCTGATTCTAAAGAAGAACCAGAAGGCGATTTTCCTCATGTCCGTGAGGCAAACCGATCTCAGTGCCGGCTTCTATCGCGATCGTCAGTTTTCATGGACATCAAAGTTCATGTGCCTAATTTACGATTTTGACGGACGTAAAGGAGAATGTGACGAAAGCTGAGTAAACACTGACCTTAAGATAATCGTTCAATCCGACCATCAAAGTATCGCAAAATTTCGTGATTCCTACAACGATCAAACAGGTCCCTGGTACTCATCCCAAGAGTCGTATTTGCCTGGTCGGAAAGCGGATGCGCCGGAAATTGAATAATTAATACGGCGCCCTTGCAGAGTACAACGAGAAGTCAAGATGCGGCACACCGGTAAAGAGTGCCACCGCGGGCGCGCTAGTCGTCCGCAGGGAAACTGCTGGCCAGTGCTTTGTCACTGGACTGACTTTGGCAGTGGAGCAGAACTCGCCATTGTAGAATATAAAGTATTATGCAGAATTCCCAGCTCAAGTCCTTAATAATTTCATAAAATATTCTGCGAGACATGTTTAGGAAACTGGAATAATTCTACAAATACGGACTGTTATGTGAAAACGATGACAGTGCGGCAACAAATCCACGGTCCAGAAACAGTCGTGAATGCAGAAGAATACATACAGAAACATCTTTCGGCATATCGTGAAGCGCTTAAGTTGTGCAAATTGCGGTGACCACTGATGATCCTGGTCTGCATAGACAAAGAATCGGCGACGCCGTCATGATCAACTCGCACGTCCTGATCTGCGTCAACCGCCTGTGGGCGGTGGCGGCGCCCCTCTCCTACCGCCTGCACCACACTCGCCGGCTGGCGGTGACGTTATGCGGCGGGTTGTGGCTGTGGGCCAATTCCCTGTTGCTCTCGCAAATTGTGAAAGACGCGCAGTTCGTCCGCCCGCCGGGCGTCTGTCACCTGGACGTCCGCCCGCAGTGGGCGCTGGCCGTCAGCGGACACTTTCTCCTCTTCATCTTTCCGCTAGTTTTCATGGTGACCTCGTACCCGGTTTTATTATTTCTGCGCAAACGCCGACCGCGCCGGATTTATCAGGAAAGCGATTTCGGGAATTCGTTTCAAATGCGCGGCCGCTGCGACAGCGAGGACGTCCCGGCGCCGGCGCGCCGGAAGCAGCGCTCTACGGCGTTCACTATCTTAACGCTGCTGACCGTCAGCGTGACGATCTGCTGGAGTCCGCTGCTGATTTTATTCAACATAGCCGTTTCATGGATTTTTTCGATAGTATATCCTACCAAATTTTATAGGTGCTATTTCTGCTGGAACCGTTATGTCATTCATCATTTGTTTTCTGCATATGTGGCTATCATTCTAAACATTCTGCTTAACTCTTTCGAACTGCGCTGCGAGGAGAAACCACCGACGCCGCGAAATAGCGAAATCGGCAGATTTACCAATGTCGCCTGGTTGACTTAACTTTTGGTAAGCGTGGTTTCTTTACTACAATTGTGCAGTATACCTGCAAATTGTGGTTCTGGCGTTCCTTCAACGTTTTCCCTGGCGGCAAATACTGACGTATGCTGGCACTGCATAATATCGTATAAAATTACCAGTATTATGGCGATATATCTGTACGGCTGCAACCCTCGCCAATAGCCGTTTCAGTGTATTGGAAACGCTACTACCGATTATACTGTAACTACATTTATATTGATCAGTGTGGAATTCATTCGGCACTTGTCTTCTTGTTTGTTTGCTTCACAGTCCAGCGGTAAATATATTTCTGCTGCGATACGATTATAAAAAACAAAATGTACTGCAGATGACATATCAAAGGACATAAATGCAACTTGCATGCACGGGTGCAACGTACGGACACAAACGTGTGTACGCTAATGTACCTAAGCATCGGGTTAATGCAAGTCGATTTCCGGTATAAAAATACATACAGGAAGCATCAATAAGCATTGAAAAAAGGCTGGTTAAACGGAATTATTACGGCTTAACGGCCTAAAATGTCTTTAGTTCCTGCGATCGCCCTCCGATCGCGTCAACGATACACCCGTGGCTATACCGCCCACCCGCATACGGCGCTTAGGAGCGCAGACTCTCGATGCAGCCCTGGACGTCCTCGGTCTGGATGAATTTGGCCTGCACCGCTTCGCACTCGGGCGGCCGATTGTTCATGCAGCCGCCCATCTTCGCTTTCCGCTTCGACTTCGACTTCTCCGTCGTCGCTTGCAGCGCACAGTCAACTACAACCACAGCGCGTACACTGTACAGTAAACTTAGGGTTTTATTAGAAAAACTTTCACTTTCACTGAAAAATTCCATATTTTAATCACTGTCCACTATGATTTGCAAATACTGAACAAATTAATATTAATTCGACAATACGGTTAATAATGTAGTAATCAAATTAATTAAAATTAAATAATATACCACAATAAAATTTATTAACGCGATTTATTACAATTAATTTCAATAAATTCCTGCTAACTGTAGCAGTATAATATTGTAATTAAAAGCGTAGTGTGATAATCATTTAATATGTACTAATAGCAGATTATTACAGAATTAATTAACATTGTTTCGACTTTTTTTATTGCATTATTGACTTTTTTATTATTTTTTATAGCAGATTATTACAGAATTAATTAATATTGTTTCGACTTTTTTATTTTAATTATTTTATAACAAAATCCAGATGTCTGTTTTTAATATATACGTAATTTCAGAAAGAAATTTATTTAACAAATATTTTACAGCCATAAATACAGCAATCAGTACAGTGCTTATTTACCAACGGATGCGCATTCGGGAATCGCTGCTTTTACGCGATCACATGCCGGGAAATCCGAGCCTGAAAATGTCCGGAAATTGATAGCCGACAAAATTAATTGAATTTCGGTAAATAAAAATGCCTAACGCTGATTACCTGTCACGGTCGAAATATCCCAAAAAACCACCAGCAAACACAGCACCGTGCACGGTATTAACACACTGCGACGGCGCATTATCCGGCACATAAATACAAATTATTTCCCGATCCCTTAATAAACCGCGTGGCGCGTGGAAAACAGCAATTCCAAGTTGATGAAAAGTATAATTTATTACCAAGGTTTCCCGTTAAAAAAAATCACAGTTCGGCGCGTTAAGAAGTCGAACAAGTAGTGCGTATTTTATTTGACTACGTTTCTTTATGAAGCAGTGAAGCGTTATGAGAAATCGCTGAGTGAGCGCGCTACAGGAACCCTCACGTGTAATTCCCGCAATAGCCGGCACCTGCACAACCTGTTCTGTGTACGTCTCCGAGCGCTGTTATTATCTCGCACAATACTCGTCAATATTGTATCAATACGCGCGCTGTTGACATCCGGTCTCGATGCGGCATTTTCATAAACTGTACAGGAAAACACGACGACGGACCAAGTCAAACACCCGGCGGGCGCTCATGTGCTGGTGATTTCTAGGTTTCCTGATTAATTATTTGATTAGTGTTATTATGCAGCTGCATCCTTATAATTACGTCGCAGGAAATCGGCGCAGAGAATCTCTTCAGGACACACATTAACCGTTTCCTTAAAAGTCGCATGCATTCCTGGGGAAATCACTTTCGTATCGAACGCAGTTTATTTTTTATGGAAGAAGGCAATTCAGGAACTTCCGGTGCTTGTCGCAGTGGCAACCGCTCCGTGTGGCAGCGCAACGCAAATTTTATTTGGAAACTTTCCCAAAATTCCCATTCTCCTTTTTGATTTCCGTCACAAAGCATGACTTTCTTCACTATATCTATCGAAAACTTGAGTTTAAATCACAAGAACCAGTTTAAATCCCAAGAAAACCGGCGTTTCGCAGCAGACTGATGGAAGCGCAACAAATCTGCCTTCAAAATACGAAGTACTCTGTAAATTGAGCGTGAAATACTGCACACCGCGCCAGGATTAATTTCGAACTTTTTTAATTCTAATAGTGCAAAATAAATATTAGTTAATAATTTACTGTATTTGATAATCGATATTTGATAAATATTTTCATTAATTGTGAATCACATCTCTAAAATTTAAGTTTCACATTAATTATTGTGACTGATAAAAAAAATTTTCTGTAAAAAAATCCAGCCTTTATAAACGAAGCAAACGTGACCTTTGCCGTAATTAAACCCGTAATTCGTAGTGTAGGATTTTTTATTGATCTTAACCGGTCAGCAAATGAGGAAGAAACGACGCGTATTTACCAAAATCTATTGGCGATGATCGACGAAGCGTGCCAGCATAACCGGCAAAAATAGCAGCTGAACGGAACGGTAGTACGAGCTCTCAATCAAATCAACCTCTATGCCCGTTATTCCCGCAACATATGGCCGGCTTTTACGGATACATTCCCTTCGGCGCTTCTGCAGGCCACACTCGCGCTTCCCATCCATATTCCCACACCGGCATTCGTGGGCGTTTGGCGGCATTTTCTTGCGTCTGAGCATCGAACATGTTATCTATAATTAATTGAAGAAATATATTATCAATATTTACTCGTACAGATACATGCGAAATTCGCAAGTCCACCACGGAGTACACATTAAAATTCTTTCTGTTAAATGTTTTGTGAAAATCCTAGCATGGAAAAATTATACATGCGTCTAATAAACAAAGTTCTAAAAATAAAACAATTCCGACAAATATAAAAGTCAGTAAAGAAAACAATAAATAAATTCGGAAATTCCAGTAAACAAAATTCCGAAAATAAAAAAAAATTCAAAATGAGCTAGTTTTATTCATAATCAACAATATATAAATTTAATAAAGATAAATTATTAAAAGCAAGAAATAAAATATAAGAGATAAAGCAGATGAAATTAATAATTAAAAAACCAATTAGAAAGTTGATACGATAAACAATTTGCGATTGCGCATCTACCCACGCGACATATTTACTGTTTGCACCGCGTGACCTTTACGTCGTTTTCTACCTCTTTAGCTCAGCGTGTGACGTCGGTGCAGGTGACCTTTATCAGTAGAATTCCTGTCTTGCGCTGTCTCCGTCTATAGCGCAGCGCAACGCGCGATCAGGGAAGAAAATCGATAGAATTCATCAAGCTAATTCAATTACCAATCAGCCGGTTAATCCGGCCGCGCGCGGCACAGGATCTTCCGGCTGCCGCAGTCGTATGACTTGGTCAGGAAATATATCACTCTAAGCGCCTCTTGAGATGCCGGTACACCGCGCAATAATCAGCCGTTATAATCAAGACAAAGCTCAGATCGTCGCTGCAGTTTATACACACACGATATTCCTGGATTTTTATATACGCTCTGTATTTCCTTAATCAGCAGTTGAAGTGGCAATAAACCGCGGTGAAGTGCGGGTAAATTAAGCAGCGTTGGTTAAACAGGATGAAGATGAAACGCACGGATCTAACGTGGGATTATTTGCTGGCGATGGTGTCGAGCATGAACGGCACAAATAACTGGCCGCCGGCCGAGGTGTCCGAGGACCCTCCGGCATGGTCCGCCCTCCCGATTTTAACCCTGATTATCCTCGCCGGCACCGTCCTGGGGAACGCGGCGCTGCTGGTGTACCTCCGCTGGATCCGCGTGCACCTCGACGTCCTGTGGATGTACCTGGGGAACCTCCTGCTCGCCAACATCCTGTACCAGGGCGTCACGGGGTCCCTGGCGGTCATCGACCGGGTGTATTCCTACTGGTGGTTGGCGGACGCCGTCTGTACGCTGTATTTATACGCCCAGTACGCCCTGCTCCTCGTCCAGATCACCGCCCGCGGCCTGGTGACCCTCCAGGCCCTGTTCCTGTGTTTCGGACACGCCCGGTGGATCGGGCAGCGCACGGTGGCGGGGTACGTGTGTCTGGGGGGCTGGGTGGCTGTCCATGCGTACTGCGCGTTCGGGATTGTCCGGGACGCCGGGAGCCGTATCCCGCTGGACTACTTCGGGTGCCGGATGAACGTGTTTGTCGCCGCGGTGCGCGGATGGTTGGCGGCGTTCGGGGCGGCGCGGGTGGCGCTGTTCCTGTTCGTCGTCGTGGGGTTCGTGGTGCTGGCGTGCAAGCAGCCGGTGGTGTATAAGAACGGGAAAGACCGGGAGGTCACGGAGGTAACGCGGAAGACGGAGCTGCACAGCGAGGTCGAGAAACCCAAGGTGGAGGAAAAGAAAAAGGATACTAAAAAGGAGGCGGAGGAGAAGAAGAAGGAGACGAAGAAGGAGAAGAAAAAAGAGAAGGACAAGGAGAAGGAAAAGGCGGAGCGGGAGAAGGAGCTGAGTCTTAGCCAGCCGGTGCCGTCGTCGGAATTCGTCACCACGGCGAGACTGGCCACTTATACAGGTACGCTAAGATTATTATTGTTGCAGCTACAGTAGCCAACTCCATTAACGGAGGCTTCAACAGGCTATTCGAAAATCTTTTTTGTTAATTTTGAAAATTTTATACCTTTTTATATGACAGAATTGGCACACACGTAGTATATACGAATAGCACACACAGATGAGCCGTTTCCAATGTAATGAAATATTAGCAATACTTATTAGCAACAAAATTATTTATTTAAAATATTTTAGACCTGATGCATGTACGAGTATGTTTAAATAAACATTTACAAATGCATCTAAATTATTATAGGCTAGTTAAAATTGAACGATGATATAAAATATTTAATAAAATATTCGTCGTAGTTTTTATTACTGTATTAATTTTTTTTCTGTTACCAAGATTATGTTGATACATGTAGTTGCATTGTCAGATATTTAGCCGATCATCATTGGTCAATAATAACACGCTAATACCGTAATTATCGAATTTGAAGCCCCCCCCCAAAATACAAGCCCCCCCCCCGTAATTAGAGCCCACCCCTAAGGTGGTTTGAAAGTTATAAGCCCCCCCCCCCCCCGAAATAGAGGCCCATGGGCTTAATTAAATACCGTAAAGCCCATATTAAAAAATGCCAAAAAGCTGGTTTGAAAAATTGAAGCCCCCCCCTAAATACAAGCCCATGCCCGTAATTGGAGCCCACCCCGTGGGTCATTTGTAATATTTGTAACCCTGGGCTTCTAATTCGATAAATACGGTATATGTAGCGCTAGATTTGTTTGAAAGCAGTGAAATACTGTATTTATTAATATACATAAAGTTTATTTCTCAATCTGTACAAAGCGAGCTTCGCTCAACAATAACAATCAAATGAAGAATTTGTCCCAGTTAACATGAGAAGGGACTGTGCACAACACAGTCCCTTCTAATATATCTTTTTTATGGTGATCGGCGAATTATTGTAGGGCAATGGCTCCAGAGTTGTCATAAACATAGAAGTAATAACAAAATCAAAAAGTTTTTGTAAAGCTGTAAAGATGCTGCGGTGATTAAGCGAAAACTTAGAAAAACGTGACACGTGATGCCCGCCTGGAGCATTATCTCTCTCGTGGCGAGACACGGCTGATTGCGGGAAAACTGCAAAGGTCAGCGGGATTTCTTGTCGGCTGGATTTGACCGGCACAGCGTTGAGGTCAGACGGCTTTTCACCGTTCTCCGCGTGTGCGCATTCTTGGTTTAGATCGTACATAGCGGTGTTGGCTGTGAGAGCCCCAGGAGAGGCTGTTTACCAGGATTATCGGGCATTCACGGCAGCGCAGACCGGAATATATACAGTAGACACAACCTTTTCCTGCTGATTATTCCGTAGTATACAAGGCGCACCGGTATTCTGAGCAGCCGCCGATTCTCCGAATAGCGTTTATGCGATTTTCCTGTCTACTCTGCAAAAACGACCGGCAAGACCGCCTTTATGTTTGCAGCTACATGTAATCAGCAAACTAGTTATCATAAAAAATTGCCGGCTTTTCAAGGTACAGTAATTAATTTTTAAGAGTAATAATGTCGATACTTCGTTCTATCGCATATTTCGCAAAACAGACACTTCTCTGTAATCCCAGTGCCGGCAGTTTATGCGGATGGCCTGTGCTCTTGCTTCACATTTTATGTGGATTTCATTCGTAAATTTTTAAACCGCGAACCGACTGGACGATTCCCAGTTTTTGTTTAGTCCGACATTGTAGTCTGGTTAATTCCGATAACGAACGTGACTTTAGCCTGCTAAACAGTCAAATAATCTTCCGTGTACGACTATAAAAATTAAAATTATGCTTTATTATCTTGTTGCACACTGTCTGTTGATTTTATACATCAATCTTTAACTAACCATTTCCAATTTTTTTAATACTACAGTAGTACATTGTACGTTTTTCCTGTAACGGTAAATCAATGATTTATGTATTTATTTTTAAAATTAATAGAATTTATTGTTGATTATTTAATTTTTAGGATGTATATTTCATGCCACTGGGCGTAGAGATACGCAGCTCCATAATTGATTACAGATTAATAAACAACAACAATGCACATCCCCATCATTAAATGTTCATGCGCGACGATTCTTATATCCTACGCCAACGCTGATTTCAACAAACACACAAAATGCCGACGCACGTTGGTATTTAATTCATAATATACAGTACAGTACTATATTATTGGGAAGAGCGGTTAAATGGTTTACAGCGTGTGCGCCGGCGCGTTAAATAGAGCGATCCCCGGCATTGAGCGGCAGTGCAGCGTGTCTTGACAACAAAACCCCACTGACGCACACCGAGGACATCCAATCCGGCGTGTTGTTGCTGGCAGCGGAAGATGAGCGTTAATTGGAAACTGAACCTAGTCTCTTCCCATACATATATCTCTATATAATAATTCGCGCCGGCTGCGGCGTCTTAAAGCAGTCACGTGGCGTTTCATAATGCACATGGCAGTTGGTTGTGCCAGGCGGATACATGTCCTACCCATCCCGCTCTTCAGGAATACACCGCTTAATGCCCGCATAACACCGGCGCAACCGGAAATTAAATATTTGCGCCCTGTCATACCTGGCATAGATTACAGTGTAATCGATACGGTGTTTTTAATTAGACGAGCACGAGCTTCTCTGGTATTAATAACGTTGCATAACGTGCGCTGATAAACATACAAAGTAGGACTAAAACGCGTGGAAACTGGCCGGTCGCTCCGCGATTCAGGAATTTATTAATAAATTCAACAAACAGTGTGCAACGGGAACAACACGGATTACCTTCGGAATATGCTGTACTCAAGTGCAAATCACTCTTGTGACAAATATATTTTTTGTTTCATGGAAACTTCTAAACTGAACATTTTAACAGCAAGAAATTCAGGGTATTCCATCGCCTAAAGCAATTGCGACCACCCGGTGTGGCAGCGTAATGCAAAAGTTATCTAGAACGTTTTTGAAAATTCCCGTTCTTGTTCTCTTTGATTTTCGTCACAAAAATTAATTTCATTTTCATTACTTCTATCAAAAAGAATTCAAGAATGAATTACAGAAAACCCTCGTTTAAGTAGTAAATGTTTCGTTTGGAGACAGATTATTGCTTCCACGACGCATAGAAAAGCTCAACGTCAGTCGAAAATGAAATAGTACGCGAGATAAGACGCAACGTGTTTTAATCCTGCGCTTTACGGTACATATGTAAAACCAGCACTTCTGGCCAAGGTGATTAAGCATTCTCCTTCTGAAACTAGGACTGGAGCTGCACTTGACCACATCGGCATCCACGAACGGCCTCCCCGTCCCGGAGGACCTCCCGGGCCCCTCGAACGGTCCCCCAGGCACCATGGACACCCCCTCCGACTCCGGCCTGACCCCGCAGCTGTTCCAGTGCATCAACCGGCGTCTGACCCTCCTCGTTCTGCTCTGCTGGACCCCCAAGGTCATCCACATGCTCCTGGACATCGCCATGCCCCGCAGCGCCCCGGCGCCCAACGTCCGCGACGGTCTCTCGTTGTGGTACGACCTGGCCGGGATGCTGGACCCCTTGGTCGTGTTCCTCAGCGTCCCGGCGTTGCGCCGCCCCGGCCGGCGTCGCCACCAGGCCACCACCCAGGAAATTACCGTCAATGTCGTCAGCACGGTATAATATTACAGCGCTGGTGTTGTTTGTGATAGACGCTGCAGCTCTGTATTACGCAAAACCTAGCACAGTTCTTTTCGAGTAATTAGCGCGCGTTAATGACATTTTTTATATGTATGTACTTAATTGCATATCACACGCCTCATGACGCAATAAATTGATAAAGCTATTTTACAGCACTGGAGGTGCTTTCGACGCCGCTGGTTGTCGCAAAGGTCAGTCCAAAAGCTTTTCGCAGATCGTGTAAAACGATGGCGAAATATAAGGGATCACATAGGGGTTCCAGCAGAAACAACACCGATCCAATTTGGTAGAACGCACTGTCGAAATAATCCATAAAAAAGGTCATGGTGAATAAAATCAACAGCGGACTCCAGCAGATCGTCACGCTGACGGTCAGCAGCGTTAAGATAGTGAACGCTTTAGAGCGATGTTTCCGGCGCGCCGGAGCTGGGATGTCCTCGCTGTCGCACCGTCCGCGCATTTGAAACGAATTCCCGAAGTCGCTTTCCTGATAAATCCGGCGCGGCCGGCGTCTGCGGAGACACAGCAGAAGCGGATACGAGGTTATCATTAAAATCAGGGGGAAGACGAAGAGGAGAAAGTGTCCGCTGACGGCCAGCGCCCACTGCGGGCGGACGTCCAGGTGGCAGACGCCCGGCGGGCGGACGAACAGCGCATCTTGCACAATCTGCGGGAGCAACAGGGAGTTGGCCCACAGCCACAATCCGGCGCATAACGTCACCGCCAGCCGGCGGGTGTGGTGCAGACGGTAGGAGAGGGGCGCCGCGACCGCCCACAGGCGGTTGACGCAGATCAAGACGTGCGAATTGATCATGACGGCGTCGCCGGTGCGCTGGAAGTACAGATACAGCGTGCAGGTGGCGCTGCTGTAAGGCCAGCGCGGGAACAACATGGCGGCGATGTCCAGCGGGTTGACGAGGATAGCGTGTAAAAGGTTGGTCAGAAGGAGGTTCAGGAGGTAGACGTTGAAGGGCGTGGTTAAGATTCGGGCGCGGAAAAAGGTGATTAAGACCGCGCCGTTGCATAGTACGATGAGAAAGGTCAAGACGGTGCTGCACACCGGCAAAAAGTGCCATTGGGGATGCGAACAGTCCGCAGTTATGTTGAAAGATACGTTGCAGAACATGACTTGCAATTTGGAAACGGTATCACAATTTGCTAGCAACTGTCGTTTTTATGCAGAATTCAGATTATCTCTTCGCGGGGCCGGAGCAGCTGTCCTCGCTAAACTGATTCGCGAAGCGGATTCTTAGCAGCGAGACAAAATTTTCCATGATACAGAGACATTTCGCGAAAGGAGAAATCCCGCTTTCGCCGCCGCACGCGGAGATGTGACATTTGTCTAGTAACAGAGGCTTTTGTTGGCCGCCCGGATAATCATGGTGCTTGTCTCGGATGCCAGTACGGAAAACGTCAGCGGAACGGGCATTTGCGTCGGCTGATTATTGAAACGGCATTTCCCGTGAGTGCCGGAAAAGGTCATGGCGAGAAGCGATGAACTGTTTTCTGAATGCTGCTAAGTATACAGGCAACTGTCGTAGGCAAGCATAACAAAACGGTTATGGCAATCAAAGCAAAACGCTGATTAGTGTTGAGACGAATGCCGGAAATACATCTAGTCAACGCGCATGCAGACGTTGCAATGCGGGCGACCGTTGACTTCCGGCACGGTGCTCCCCGACACAAACATGTTTTTCCCCGAACAATTATGCAGCCGACGTGCCGGCCACGCGCTATAAATCAAAACAAATTCCGGGATAATATGGTTGACGGTTAAGGGAAGTGCATGCCGGTATATGATACCTATACCAAACTCGTGTACATGATGTACGAAAACTACTTCCGGTTGGGAGAATATCGGTGAAATATAATTTTGGCGACATCCGGTTGGGGGAGATATCAGTGGACAGTGAAGTAATATTCCAAACGTTTAAACGCACGGAGTTGTACCAAAAAACTCATTACGAACCGATCCTCTTCGAAGTTCTCAGGAAAACGCACATTACCATTGTCACGAGTACGACTGGTTGAAGGACGTTGTACTTAGTACATACACTGTTCATACTGCCAAAATAACAATGTCAATACTTCTAAACATCCGGCCGAGTACGCTGCACACGTCATATGGATTGTGGATAGCAGTAGTGACCGATTAACGCCATAAACAGCACTGAATTACACCTCTTCCACGCCGTACTTGAAGCTGTTAACTGCTGCGCCGTTTTCTAATTCAACACAACTCGGATCATTCAGCTGATTGAAATCTCCTGGCTGCAGGCGGGAGATTCTTCTTTCTTCCGACATCCAGAATATTTCGCCTCCCTTTGCGAAAATCACGAAAACGGTTGGCCATCTGGGCTTAAGTGAACGCTGTCAAACTGATGAGACAAAACTGAGCGGACGCAATGCCCGGAGGTGGCGATTACCCTCGCTGGTCCAGGTGTACCTGGCTGAACTGGTATTCTTAATTTGGTCTTCCACGGAAAATCGGAAATACTCCGGAAAATCCAGTACACACATTCAGCAGGTTTAAGGCCGGCCGGTCTAAGCTGCCTGCGAACGGGCATATTGGGCGGTGTAAGAATGCCGATCAAACGACAAAGTGGGAGCAAAGCGCCCCTGCCGGCTGGTTATCAGCTACATTATAGAGGTTAATTTTTCACTAGCTCTAAAGTTTTACTGCTGTTAATTTGTTGCTCCTCCCCAAATTCGTGACGTTAGGCGCGAGACCGTTTCAGCCACGACGATACAGTAACTGGCGAAGTTACCGTAAGGCCTGCGCGCTTAGCAGAGCACTGCATATCCGGGTTGAGTTGGGGCGCACGTATGTACGTACGTGTTCTGTATCCGCTAAGCGCGATGCGATGGACACAGACTTAACTACCATCGCCTTTGCTTTTAATTTTGCTCAACTGTAATTTTAACAGCGTTCAGCGATCAGCCAAAAGAAAAAATTAATCTGTCTATTAACGGATTACCTGCATTTCTGACCTGACGCATGCAGTCTGCGATGCGGCAGACGCCTCGTTCCTTCGTTCAGATACCAAATTATGTACAGTAGATGGCGTATGACACGGCCTTACGAATAACAGCTAAATTTTAACGGTGTTAATTCCAAGTTTTCTTAATGCGAAGTAGAGTCTGTGTTGACATTTACTTAGGATGATGATAAAGGGACCAATCGTCGTGTTACAAACGCCGGTGGTAAATTAATTATTCTGTCACTGTGTACAGTTTCGCGTTGCCGCGTAAAAATGCCGAAATAATTTACTGCGAGATAAAAACATTAAGTAGGTGGAGTTATGAGTTGGAGGTTCTTCACGCAGACGTCACGAAGCAGCAAAGAAATTGCTATTTCATTTCAAAAGGAACTGTCTGGATTTTCAAGATACCGACAGGCCGTCACACGGTCACAGGCGACAGAACATCAGCTGAAAACAAGCCACACTGTCACTTGTAGAACGACCAGGTCTAATCAACTTCTCGGGCGGTTGCCATTCCGCTGCAATGACAAAAATTTGACGTTTCGTCTGTTCAACTGCCTGCTGCGTGTACCGCTGGCAATCGTCTTCTTCTTGTTGTTTTCAATGTTTTGAAGTGTTTTTCTTATGCAGCGTGCACCTTGTAGCATACGTTGCATAACCGATAACTACGGGTCTCATGAGCCATAAGATTTGTTGTTTATAAACAATAAGAACAACTATCGTACTGCATTCTTGGCGGAGGTTGTATCGATAAGTTACAGTGTGTTCTGAGACTTCTGACTGTTCTCCTGGACGTGCTGGCGTGGCATGGAGGCCATCGAGCAACTGTTAAAGGAGCTGCTGCAGCCTGATCGCGGGACTGCAGCGGGTGACGGCGTATCCGCGAGTCAGCGTCCGCTGATTTTGCAGCGCTTCACCTGGCCGATCCCCAGTCCCGACGCGACCCCCTACAAGAATATCTACCATGGCGGGGAGGAGAACGAGAAGCGCGAGGTCTCCCACAAGAACATCCTCGTCGAGGGCCCGCCGTTCCTCGGCGAACTTAAACTGGAAATCAACTGGCACTGTAAGGGACTTCATTGTTTTTAATGTTGAAGAGCCTTGTCCTGGTTATTGCTCCTTGGAATAATCCTTTCACAGTTAATCTGTTAACGCATCTGCTTTCGAGACAGCTAAACAGCCTAAACTGCAAAAGAGGGTACAGTAATATTTTCGCGGATATTTATATTTTGGAAATATTTACAAATAAATACTTTATTTGATAAGTGAGTTGTTCTGAGTTTGCACCAATATTGTTACGTGATTAACAGTCTTCGAAAATATTATTCGTATATAAAATTAAATTACTGTGAATTATACACGACTGATAGACAATAAATCGTGACTGCGTATTAATTTCATAATTTGCGTTATTTTGATACTGTAGATATTGAATCACGTACATACGTAATCGGCAATAAAAATTAATATTATCTGGGGAAAAACAGAGCTAAAATTAAGAGCATTTCATTTGATAATTTATTTGCTTTCTTTCGAAAAATGCAGCCACTGCCTTTGCGGCAAAATTGTTGCGTCTGTAATATAAAAATTAAATACTATAATGTGAAAAAAAGTCTTAATAATGAAAACAAATAACGGTGATAACGAGAAATGAAAACAGTATATTATTGATAATAATTATAAATATATTAATAATTTAAAAGGAAGCAAGATCATAAACTGCATAATCATAATGTTTTGCAGTTTCTTACAGTTGGTAGAAAAATGACGCTGCAGTTTGATGAAGAATCAGAGCCCTTGCGGCGAAATAATGTCAAGAACGGCATTTTCCTTGACATTTTGTCATTATTTTCATTCTGTGCAGATTGGTGTCTGCGGCGCGAGAACGAATTCGTGGTGGACCAGATCCGCTGCTGCCTGATCAGCACGCGCCCCAACCCCCTGACCCTGCCCCCCGGCGCCCCGCCCTCCCAGTCCTTCGTCTACCCCGAGCAGTCCTTCGGGCCCGTCCTCATTCCCCTCCAGGTACAGATTACCATTTAAGCAACAATGTTTTTACCGTTTTCTGAATAATTTTCAATTTAAAAAAATAACTGCTGTGAAATTCCTTTTTACGGAATTTTTCTTGGACATTTTCGAGAGGATTTTGTTTAATTACGCGTTGTTGTTTGAACTGCATTTATTGAAGGTTGTTTTCTCCTGATGTTTTTCATTTGAAATGACCTTTTTTGAATTTAATTTCTCTACAATCCAAATGTTTCTGACAAATTACAATAGTTTCTGATACTTTCGTGAAAACAATTTAAAAGAAACATCTACCTGTATTTTTGTAAAAAAAATATTATAAATTAAAAACAGTGGTTGTTTTAAAACATTCATAAAAAATGTAAAAATGTTGCTTCCCATTTTTCATTTTTCCCCGTTATGCTGGCTTGGAACGGCTTTAATTGAATTTGTTCCTCAACAAATTTCTTATTATTAATTCTGTTATTTAATTGCTTTTTCCTACAACAGCTTTATTTTCCAAAAGATAATTTTTTATTACAGTTATTAATAAAGATATTAAGTTTTTATTTCAGTCCAAGATAATTTTATTTTTTATTACTAATTTTAAATTTTATTTTTATTTTTTGTGATAATTTTCTTTTCCATTTTAATTTTTAAAAGTGATTTTAATTTTTTAAAATTTTTTTTCTTTCAAATTAAATAGATTAATACAAATATTAAACGCACCTCTTGCAGGGTTTCTCCGACCCCCTGGGGCCCCTGGTGACCATCCCCCTCCGTGACGTCACCGTACGTCTGACGGAGCGCAGCATCAGCACCACGTACACCTTCAACTGGATCTGCGAGTACAACAAGCGATTGAAACGCCAACAGCCGCCCGACTGCTTCACGGCGCTCTTCGGCTCCTCCGCGGTGGAGTGCACCATCGGCAGCCGGCCCACCGCGGCCGAACAGCTGCGGCGGACGGTGCGCCGCGTGTACTGGGAGACGGTGGTGGGCGGGGCCAAGGCGCTGGGCGAGGACGACGTGCGGACGGTCAGCGGGGATATTCGGGACAATTATCGGGTGCTGGTGGAGGGGAAGGAGTTTTTTGTCGATAAGGCCAAATTGGCCGCTGCGTCGCCGGTGTTTGCGGCGTGTTTCAACCATCCCGGTACGAGAAAACTCAGTAGATGCAAGAAATATTTTAATGATTTTATTACGCTTCCATCAACAACTAACTGCCAGATTAAATTTATGGGCGCATTAAATAAAATTATTTTGCTATATATGGTAAATTTATTTTTTATTTTATTTCAATTCTCGGCGCAATAAATGATTTAAATCGAATTAATTGGGAACTTTTTTAATAAAATTGAATAACGTACACCAATGATCTTTTGAAAATTGGTAATCGAATTTATTTATCCGCTTTATCGATGCTTATTTAATTTTTGAACTATCATTAAAATTTATTTTTTTTATTTAAAATATGAATGAATTTTTTATGTATAATTTATTTATTACGAATCAAATTTATTTAATTTGTTTATATTGTGTAGGATGTTTAATAAGTTAACTGCATAGAAATTGGGAATATTTGTACTTTGTACAACGTGTCCATCTGTATATAGAAATGGAAGAAGGCCGCTCGGAATCCTACAGCATCCCCAACGCCGCCGCCGCCGTGGTGGAGCAGTTCCTGCACTTCTGCTCCACCGGCACCCTGACCCAGCCGGAAACGCACGTCCTGGGATTATTATACCTGGCGCACCAGTACCAGATCCCGGTACTGCTGGAGAAATGCCAGATCGCCGCCATGCAGCAGATCCTGGAGGGCTGCTCCGTAGAGCAGCTGGGCAAGGTGGCCGGGGCGGCGGTCGCCTTATCTTTATCGACGCTGTTGGGCGTCGTGCACGTGGTGCTGGAGGAGCGGATGCCCGGGTGGACGCCGGCCGACTGGCGGGTGTGGGCGGGCTTCTTAGAGGGCACGCCGGGCTTCGCGGTGGAGCGCTGCCGCATGATGGCGGTAAGCAGAATGTCGCCACAAAATAGCAAGTAATCATGTTATTTAACTTATTTTACATTAATAATTACTCACCATCATTTAATTTGTCATTTGGTACTCTAAGTTTAAATAAGTATAATGGTAAAATAATTATACGAAAATTAGCGATTAATAATAATTTATTCAGTAATCATGTTATTTTACATTAATAATTACTCATAATCATTATTTTGTCATGTGGTACTCTAATTATAAATTAAGTATAATGGTAATAAAATAATTATACGAAAATTAGCGATTAATAATAATTTATTCGTATAATAAAAATTACTTGAATAATCTACTATTTGATACTAATAATTATAAATTATGATAATAAAACAAACGAATGATGCCAGTGGATATTTAATGCTGATTACTGTAACAGCCAGTTAAATAATAACAGGTAGTGTTTGAATCCTACTACTTACTATTTAGTAGTAACAAAAATTAAAGTTACAATAAATAATATACGTATAAGTAAAAGTCAATGTGTGAAATAGATGGCTAATTTTTCAAATAAAAATTAAATAATAATGAACATAATATTATATACTGTATCGTATGGCCATATAAAATCGTAATTAATTTACTACATTATTGATTATTCATGTAGTTACTGGTGCATACATATTCCGACGTGCTTTTAAACAAAAATGCTCGGAAATTCGGTATAAGCATTAAATGCTGTGTTTTTAGGAAATGATTAATTCTTGAAGCCTTACCAACCGCCGATGTCTTCCTTTTCGAATCCAACGGATCGTGGAGCTTTCCAAGAAAATTTGTGAATCTTTTTGTGAAATGTGTATGGCTGAAAATTCGCGCCGGCGGCCTTATTTTTATTTATTTTTTGCAGACTCAGGTTTTTTTCTGCGCTTATTTACCTGTTTGTCTGTAGTTTGATTTTTTTTAATTGTTTTAGTTTAAAAAAAAATCTATTGTGGGAACTTGGACACATTATGAAGAAAATGTGAATTGTGGGCCTACAAATGTCCCATTCAAGCCTGTGCCAGTAGCGTCTTAACTCTTAACTGGATTTCAAAGCGGAAAATAGCATATTTTTTGTGGTGTATAATTGCTGATTTTATGGTTCATTATTTCTCTAAAATTTAAACAAATTTAATTAATTTTTTTTAAATTTTTTTAATTTAAACAAATTGTTCATTTCGATGACGCAATTGCAGGTGACTTCAACATTCTTTTAACACTGGAGAATTTACATAAAAAACTGTATATGAAAAACTAAAGAAAAATTGCACGATGTCCAAAAACTAAACAGAAATTGCAGTTTGCAGGTGTCGGTATTAAAATGAAATCGGATTAAAAAAATTAAATTTAAACAGTTAAATTTGCTCCTGACTGAAGTCAAGCAACTGCAAAATTAAATTAAATTATAAAATAAAATAAACTGTATTACATCTGGTTGGAAATTATTTTAAATACGTTAGGAACTGCAAGCAAAAATCAAATTACTCGATTTTGACACTTTTTTTCCATGTTGTTCGACTCACTTCCGGCGTGCAGTACCGGGCAGCCTCGGCTCGCTACTCGCCAGTGGTTGCAAACTTGCCAAAAAGTCCAAAAAGCTTCGACAGTTTTGTTTGCTTTCTCCAAAACCAGGACACACACCAGGATCTAATCAATTATTCCGAACTTGACCGTCTTCATTGCTTTGGTCTCCAGTGAAATTGTTTAGACAGAAAAATAATTTTCTCAGGTTTCGGTGAAATTCATGCAGTTCTGGGCAGACCAACGGATCGTGCCGTGCTTGAACAACCTTGATCGATAATTCGCAACATTTTCGATTTTTTATTTTTTTGTGGACAGTTTGTGAGCGTTTCACCGTTCCTGTACGCATCATTTGGTATCCTTAGTTACTTGGCATTACTATAATTCGAAAATGAGCAGTACGGATTATTTTCGTGGTCCGCCAACGGATATCGACAGGTTAGCGTGAGTGTTAATGATTTTGTTGGCACTGTGAAGTGTAAATGCACAGCAACGAACTTCCATGGAAACCCTGCTTTGCAGAATGGTCTCGCTGAAAGTGGACAATCTCACTTACCGCACCACCGTCGAGGATCTGCAGAAGGTCTTCGATAAATTCGGCAAAATCGGCGACGTCTACATTCCGCGCAGTAATCGCGGCAGTCGGGGATTCGCGTTCGTACGGTAAGATTAGAGAAATCGCTGCATGTTCGAACACGTTGGCTGGTAATGTGGCGCAGCGTGCCGAGATCCCTGTTACCCTTGCACAGTCTCTATGGATCAACCGGGAATTTACCTCTGCATGCTTTATTTACCAGTGAGAATTAGAGTAAATACGCGTTAATTTCGTTTTAATTTTCTTGATTGACTTCTTTCTGATATGGTCTTTCTCGATCATTAAAAACTTCGAAGCAATGCGTGCAGTGAATTATTTATGAGGTGATTAATTACAGTTTCACGGATATTAGCGAGCGGTGTGGAAGAAAAGTCATGTAAACATTGAACCAAAATTTACGATATTTTTATTTTTTAATTAGAAATAAATTCGGATATAAGTTTTTCTGGAAAGTTAGCACAGTGATAATTTGGCAGAAATTACCGAAACCTTATACCATGATTTTCCTGATATGTTATTGATTATTTGATTCTGTTTAATTGACTGAAAGTTCCGGAAATGTTTTTGTTAGAATTTAGGAATAAATTAATAATTAAACAAAATCCAATGGAAAATAATCCGTTTTTTTTTGCATTACGGGTGCAGGGCGCTGGTGACAGAACATGTGGAATATTTCTGTTGTTTTTTTGATATTTTTTTCTGTCTAATTAAATGAAAATTCAGAATTATAATTTTTTTATTCTGTTTAGAGAAATGAAAATTCGGAATAAATTTGTTTATTCTGTTTGAATAAATAAAAATCCGCAATCAATTTGTGTGTTCTTTTTAAATTAATAAAAGCCCGGATAAATTTGTTTATTCTGTTTAATTAAATGAAAATTCGGAATAAAGGTTTTTATTCTGTTTAACAGTTTAATAATAAAAAAAATTGGGAATAACTTTTCCAGTATGCTTGGGCGCATCGATAATTGTTTAAAAATTCCTGCCACTTGACTTAGAAGCTGATTTACTCGTGGACCATACTGATGCGGTATTTTGCCGGTTAGATTCATGGAGAAGCGCGACGCGGAGGACGCCATGAGTAAGCTGGACGGGTCGCGGCTGGACGGCCGGGAGATCCGCATCCAGATGGCCCGCTACGCCCGCCCCGAGGGCGGCCGCGACCGGGACCGCAGCCGGGATCGCGAGCGGGACCGCGACTACCGCAACGGCGACCGGCGCCACCGCGACGACGACGACGACCGGTAGAGTTGGCAGAAAATGGGGCATTTCTTGCGTGCAGTTGCTTTGATTGAATCGCTCCGGTTGTTCCGCGTCGACATGTTCCTGTGTGTTGCAGTCGCTATCGCCGTTCTCCGGAGCGTCGCCGCTCGCCGTCGCCACGGGATCGACGCCGATCGCGCTCGCCAGCGCGTCGCTACGGACGCCGTGACTGAAGTAAGCGTATGTTGAAATAAAATCAAAATTTCCTGTTTATTGATTTAACGAATAATTTCTTTTGCTATTTTCATTTGATTTTTATTTATTGTCCTTTAATTTATTTTTTTATTTCACTCCTTTTCTGTTTGCTTTCTTAAATTTGGTTTTCATTCCTTCATTTTTTTTAGTTATTTCCGTTGATTTATTTTTTATTTAATTCTTTAAAATTGACTAGAATAATCTAAAGTGGATTTAAGTTAAGATTGTAATAAAATTATTTACAGCCTTTTATATATAATAATTACAGGTGCATCTGCGAACTAGAGAGGATTGTGATTTATGATCTTTTTAATGAAAACAATGCTTCATTGGTTGTAATCTCGATAACCTAAATTTACAGAAAATTATTGCTGAACCATATCGGTGATTTGTGGAATTTTGTTATCATTTTGTTTGTGCATATTTTATTATTTATTAAGGGATATTAAATTTTTATTGGTTCTGCAGGTCTGCCAGTGGAACGACGGACCGGGATTCTCGGATGTTTCGTTTGTGTTCATGTTGATCGCCGATCTTGTTGCATCCTGGGGTATGAGCGGCGTTTTTCTGTTGTTGTTTTTTTTGTTGAATTATTTTCCTCATCTATTTTTCGGCTGATATTCTCCATAACAGTTTTGTCGTGTGTCTGTTTGTGTAGCATCTTGCGTCTTCGTACTGTACATTATGACACTTATTGCGCCTACATAATGACAGCTGTGCAGTTTGTGTGTTTTATTGATGATTATTGTCGATTGATGACAGGAGTACGCGGTGGGCGCTGTGTGGCTGGTGTTACACTGAGTTGCTGGTTAAAAACGCGTGCAGAGCTGACAGTGTGAGCGGGGCCTGCTGAGTTGCAGACGTGTATGCTGGGTGGTTGTTAGCTGAACGCGGGTTAGCTGATCTAGTAGCTGGGTGCCTCCGACGTTTCCCTCAGGATAGCTAGTAGGACGAAGCCGAGCCGACGGTTGGGGCTATACGGAAATACACATACAGACTGATGCCCGGGAACCTGGGTTCCAGGCGGTCGCTGATGGTCCGGCCATTGGGGGGTGTGCTGTACGCGGCCGAACAGTGTCCAGCGGTGCCTGATGCGGACCATAGACGGTAGACCGTGAATATAATCCATCTGCTGAATATGGGCAAGGGGTACGTGTATGGGGGGCGCTGATCTATCCGGCCTGTTGAGGTTCGCGGTGGGCTGTGGCGGTGCGCGGCTGTGTGGCAAGCTGTTGTCCATTAAAGAGCCGGAAACATGCTGACCGGGATTTGAAACGGATCGCCGTGCAATAGCTGCGCAGTAGTCCATTAGGTAATTTTACCACTTAGCATACCATTAAGAGAAGTTTACCCCGGTTCATGGTATGTACCAAATTTCTTTATCAGAATATTATTAATATCGAGATTCAGCGAGGAAACGCTGTTTCTGTTCTCGGTACATTTAGCGACATGATAGAAGGAAGATGTGTACTTTGCCTTTCAGTTACCGGAACGGAAATGTTAATCTTTATCAGTTTATCCGGTAATTCCCTACGTAAAGGTACAGCGAGCGCGGAGTTAGCGCCTACCACGATGGTCATGTCACTACGCTTAACGCAGTGTCTCAATGCGCTCCGCATGTTTCTAGCCAATATTGCAACTTCCGCCAGGCAGCGGCGATTATGCTCAATAAAATACTTATCTGGCGTACGCACCATGCCGTACTAGTCGCTGCGTACTTGTGCTAATTCCTAAAAGTTTAAACGCATTCAGCCTGATTTAGGTGTACCAAAAGTCCCATTATGGGCCCATCTTCTTTCAGTTTTACACATATTATACGCGTAAGTATGGTACCATTAATTTCTTTCCAGTTTTAAAATAAATTTTAATACGAAAATTCGAACACGAAAATTCATTTAAAAAGTGGAAAAAAATTCCAGAACCGTGGGTCGATGTAGAAATGACCTTCATGCCGAATCATGCGTCTGTACGTTTTACATGCAAAATTGAATGGAGACCGGTCCATAATGAGACTTGGGAATCAACGCACTTACGAGTATTACGTACTTCGGTACGAGTATTGCAATTTGGCGTTTTCATGCACTCTCCGCTACTTTCTGCAGTGTTTCTTGACATTTTTGTAGCCGGATGATTTGTATATGTTGGCGTGAATAACGCCTGTGTGCTGTCTCGCTCGTGAGTAATAGGTGAAGTAAGACGCCAGACAGATAAAATACACAGATTCATGACGCGCAACCTGGTATACGAGATTCCATCATGGTTTCCAAATTTGAAGAGTGTGAACAATTGTAAAAGGGAAACTTAAGAATCCGAATTGTCGTGTCTTTTTAAACTTTTGACCACGAAAAACTTCGACATTTCAAATGTCAAAACGATCTTGATGTACGTCTGAACATGGAATCGTGTCTTCACCTATCCTTCGCCAACCGGCTGTTGCGCGCACAAACGGTTTTTGTGCCATTGTGTACTGTACCTGAAGCTCATTAGATTGCACAGAATATACACGATGCAGAAAAGTGTACGGAAGTGAGCGAAAGGTTCGGCGCATGTAAGCATAATTAGTGTACATATTAATTATGCATATACTGCGTCACCTTCACTTATAAGCCGAACGTGATGAGGTTTCCGCATAAATATCTGCGCCAGGCTTGATGGTTCGTACAGTACAGAGTAACCAACACCATATTCGTATAGGGTCCCAATACGAAATTATAGAAAATAGAAATATTGCAATAAAGTTGGCATTCAGTCTTCATACATCGAGATATGTAGGTGCTGCCATAGGTAAACTCGAGACTTCCATTACCGGCGCAATACGGCTATCCTGGATATTTTGCTGTACATAGTAGTCTTTAGTGACCGCGAGTTTTGTGTGATCAGTTGTCAGCGGTGTGTTTTTTACTGGAATTTGCAAGAGTAACTCGGTATTCCGTTAATTTGTGTGACTGCGTGCGCTCGCATCGGATTGCAGTCGGAATCTTTACCGCGTAATTGCCCCGTGTAAATAACTGGATGTTTTTCACATTCCAGGAACCTGTAACACATATCTGGACATTCGGGAGACAAGAAACACGGAATTATCCACTCTGGCCTGTCTTCTTCGAGCGATTTCAGGGGGTTGCAGGAAGTGGAGGGGAAATGTACGATGTCCAGGAACCTTTTGGGTTCGGGTACGCTTGACGTTTGGTTGTAAAGCGAAAAGGCCGAGAAAAAAGTTCTGCAATTGTTAATTGTCTTTAATACTACAGGATAATTTTGTACGCACTGGTTTCACACTGCGAAACGGGAAGTCATTAAAATCAGTGATCATTAAGTCCGCAGCGCACATACTTGAGATACTGGGTGGCATAGTTTTCCGCGTGGATGAAAGCTTAGCCTGAGTTGCAACGAAAGTACCAAGATGGCAATCAAATGAAAATGAGACTTCCGTTTGCTTCTTAGTGGGATACATTTTAGATTGTTTAAGGATACTGATACGCCATCAGTGAAAAAAAGGTTGACGATACATTAGGGATACGGCGGATACCAGTAAAAAAAGACACGCCTCGAAAAACCTAACATATAGGAAGTCATCTGTAGATTAGATTAGTGGCAGTCCGGAGGTCCTGTAGTGTGCACCGCACACCGTCATGGCGCTGGGGTGGCCGCGCGCCCTTACTGCACTGACTTTCACTGTGCTTCTCCATCCACACGGGAGTTGCGGTGATTCTGGTTACTGTAGCGGCTCCACCAAGTTATACCACAGAGTTTGTGCACGGGAAAACAGTGCCCAGAGTGTGTGCATTAACTGTGCAGGTGGATGCATGGGCATGCACACGCTGCGTGGGTGCAGTTTTCCCGTGCACAAACTCTGTGGTATAACTTGGTGGAGCCGCTACAGTACTTCTCGGCATGTTACAGCTTTGCCATACGCATGTTAAACGCATGCATGTAGTGTGGCCTGGAGCGCCGATATATGAAGGTTGGCGTAACCCATAAATTCTGGAATTTTCGCTGTATTTACGAATGCTCAAGATGTAATCGGGCTTGTTGTATATGCTGCCATCGACATGCCGACATGATGCAAGTAAGTTCCGTAGCATGTACGTTTTGAAAAAAACGTACAGTACATGAATATCACGGCAAGACGGTTTTGCAGTGATATTCATGCAGAGCAGTAACAGCGAACCTGTAAAAACAGTTTGATTGCGCTGGTTGCAGGAGTTAGGAATGTATTAGAGGACATAAATTACGTAACACGCAATGGTGGGGGAGGGAGGATGGGGTGTGGCGGGTGTCCAAAGCGTTATTTGCCCGGAATCGATATCAGCAAAAAGCGTAACGCAGGGGGTCAAAATTGCCGGTTTTTGGCGTTACGTAATGGATGCCGCCTTAGCAACGAAAGGCCGTCCATGAGTGTAAAATATACTGCGATTAACCATAGCAACGTCAACAGCTGCCTGCTGGCAGAGCGCAGAATTCATAGTATATATAATTATAGCAAGCAATTCAGCGAACAGGATAAAATCTCAAGCCTAGCTAGAAAACGTAGAGTGGCTAAAAATCCTACATAGCTAAAATTCTATCCCAAAATCAGCCCTTATCACCAATATAGCATGGTGCTGTTGTTCGGGTTTCCTGTAATTCATCCTTAATTTCAAGTTAATTTTTTCCGTCCGTTATTACGGGCAACACGATGCCGTATGCTGCAGGTGGCGTTAACCCGCACGCTGCACGAGTGAAGAGAAGGAGCCGGCTATGCAGAATTATACTACAACGCGTACAGTACAGTTTGTTGACTGTGTAATCGTTCCAGCAGCATAGGCAAGGGTATAGAAGTATTACATGCGTCATTTATGGTATTTGTAATAATAGTTTTGTATTGCGAAGTTGTACTGTACGGTACGCACATCGGGCGAGCATACTGTGCCATAATAGTGTTATTATGCATTCCGTACCACTCTGTGAATCATGTACAACATACAAAATACGCATATTAACTAACAGTCATTGTAGAGCACTGCAGGCTGGTCTGCTCAGGTAATACTGTCCTGGCAGTTGTCCGTGGAACCGGCATCGGCATCCAAGTGGAAACGGCAACGCGAGCGCTCTGGCGATCATGTTGGCATCTGTACACAGTATTCACCAACACACGGCTCTCTCTATATTTGTGTCCGACACATTTTCTTCCCTAAAATGCCGACTAATTATCACAGACTGAACTCGCCCACTACCGTCCGCCGGGTTTTCGGGGAAGTGAGCCGCGGGAAGAAGCTGCTGGCGGGATTACTGCTGCTGGCGTTGGCGGCGTTTTGCCTGTATGGCTGGAATTGGCCCGGTGGCGCCATCAGCGGATCCGCGGCTAACATCTCCGACGCGGCTATCCATGCCCCGACCTCGCCGGTCACGGTGGTCACGGCGTACTACCGGATCCCCTCCAAGCAGGCCGAGTCCGTCTACCTGCAGTGGATGCGCAACTTCCTCCCGCACATCCCATGTTTCCTGTACATCTTCACCGACGCCGCCTCGGCGCCGCGGCTGCGCACCCTCCGCGCCCCCCACGCCAACCGCACGCGGCTGGTGGTGCGCGAGCTGCCGGCACTGCACGAGTACGCCAAGATGGACGCGTGGCGGCGGCTGCAGCAGACCGACCCGGAGACCTACCATACGCCCGAGCTGTATCTGCTGTGGAATGAGAAGCCGTGGTTCGTGCAGTGGGCTATCCGCGACAACGCCTTCCGTTCGCAGTATTTTCTGTGGTGCGACATCGGGTCGTTCCGGGCGCCGGAGCAGCTGCCGGCCCTGCGGGCCTTCCCGGATCCCGGCGTGGTGGCGGCGCGCCTCCCGGATCCCGCCAAGCTGGCGCTGCTGCTGCTGCGCCCCTTCGATGCCGCGACGGAGTACGTGGATGCCCGGGGGTTCCCGTCGGCGGTCCTGCAGCGCGCCGGGACGAATCACATTGGGGGAGGGATTATGGCGGGGACGCCGGCGGCCTGGCAGGTGTGGATTGGGCTTTATGAGGCCATGCAGACGCTGTATCTGCAGCGCGGCCTCAACGCCGGCAAGGACCAGAATGTGATGAATGCCGTGGCGCTGCGCTATCCGCACCATGTCCAGCTGGTCAGTCCCCGGCCGTATCTCGGCGGCCGCGGCAATCCGTGGTTCTACCTTCAGTATTACTTTGCCGTGCTGGACTGAGTGGTGAATATACGGCTAATTAATAAAACATTTATACCGGCTCTTTGCGCTCCATGGTCTGTGCTACTCGGTTGGCGTGGTTGGCCTAGTGGGCTGCTCATTGTGTGTGCTGCAGTAGCACCCTCCTCCAGATTTAGGAATTAAAGAAATAAACCGTAGATGTTTGCAGTACACATCAACATGACACTCGAAAGTCGTACAGCATATGTGTGGTTTTGTTAACCTGTGATAAAACGTATCAATACAGATACATGTATGTTGACGTTGCAGAGCGTACTGTACGTCTTTCCAGTTCGTTAATATTATCACGGTAAACGTAATAGGATGTTATTGTTGTCAGATCGTCTTGTTCTTGATTAATATCCTGTATTACTTTTTTTGTTCTTGAATATAATCAAGAAAAGTAATACTGCACATTAATCACGAACAAAAAAAGTAATATTTAATTACACATGTACTGTACATTAATCAAGAACAAGAAAAGTAATACATGTACTGTACATTAATCAAGAACAAAAAAAGTAATATTTAAATTTTATACATGTACTGTACATTAATCACGAACAAAAAAAGTAATACAAGTACTACAAATATTTACATAAGTACGAGTACAGATAATTGCAACCGATCATTGCTGTACAGTACTTTGGTGCAAAATGCTATGGCGGGGCATGATCGGATAATTCTATTGCGAATTCCTGCATCTACATTACCATCGGCTAATTGAATAATTTAATTGCCGGGTCTCTGGATTTTCGAGTCCGCAGGCTGTCAGAGGGGCTACACACTGTAACTACTTGTCCAGAAGAAAACCTAAGAAAGCATAAGAAAACATACGAAAAACACTACCACAACGCGGAAAACTATAACTAGAAAGACGTTGAGAGAACACGGCCAAGCATAGAGTTAATGAGCAGCAGTTTATTGTGGCAGCCTGGCAGGGAAGAAGCCGTTGTTAATTTACTTACGTCTGGACACGGTATAGTACAGATACGCGATCGCACCATCCTTATCATTTGCGTCATGTGTTGATGCACTTGACTGCGCTGCTCGATGAACTACGCTCATGCCACACCAGTACAGATGTACCATGCCGGAAGTTTTGAATCGCCATTGTGATGGGAGAAGAATGCTATAACGGTTCACTGAGCATGACACAATCCACGGAGTGGATTGTGCCTGTGCATGGAGAGTTACAGCGGACAAAGGGTTATGCCATGATGCCACTGTCGCTGCAGCATTACGCGCTCCGAATAATTATGTTTATGATGCGCCGCTGCAGCGTTCATCACACTATCTACACTGAAATGCCGGTATCATTGAGACACGCAGCACACAATCGGTGCGGTAATAGTCCCGGTATGCAGCCGTGAGCAACCACCATCCAGTCACGCTTCCGCTGCAGCACAGCCTACAGAATGCTGGCAGTGGCGTCCACCATGGAGACCACTATTTAAATACCGCGTGCTTCCTTATTCTGGCATCAGAAACTGGAGAGTGGCGTTACTGCCGTACTGTTTCAGCCAGCACTGATTTCCCGTTGGTGTTCCGTTCCAGTCGGTCCCATGTCGGTCCATCCCATTCTGCTGTTCTTGTGCATCAGCACCGTGATGCTGCTCAGTACGGTCAATGGCGGCGCTGTCTCAGCCCCGCCATTACCAGCCACAGCAGCGCCATCAGCCACTTCACAAGCGCCATTACCAGTTACGCCTACGCCATCACCGGCCACGTCACCTGCATTACCAACCACGCCACCAGCATCACCAACGGCGCCACCGGCATTACCAGCCACACCATCGCCATTACCAACCCCGTCGCCGTTACCAGCGACAAGCAGCCTGCCTGCCGTGGATTCCATCCCTTCTCAAAGACCCATCACCAGTCCTGTGACAGTGGTGACCGCGTTATATCACTTCCCGGCGCAACATCCCCACGCTACATATCTCCGCTGGATCGAGAACTTTCTCGCACAGATTCCCTGTTTTCTGTACGTCTTCACCAGTTCGGCCATGGCTCCGACGCTGGCCGTCATGCGCGCCCCTATGCCAACCGCACCCGTTTTATCATCAAGGAATTTGAGGAGCTGGAAGAACATTCTAAGATGGACCTTTGGAAGCTAATTAAAAGCGCCGATCGCGAGACACATCACACACCCGAGGAATATACCGTGTGGAATCAGCGCTGGCGCTTCGTCCAACAGGCCATCCAGGAGAATGTCTTCCGTTCCGATTATTTCCTGTGGCACGACATGGACGCCTTCCGCATCCCGGAGATTGTGGCGTCCCTGCGGCGCTTCCCAGATGCGGAGGTGGTGCGGCGGAAACTGTCGGATCCCGGGAAGATCGCGGTGACGCTGATGAATCCGCTGGATGCCCAACGGGATCGGATTAATGCTGACGGATCACTGTCCAGTGGCCTGCGCGAAGCACGCACCGATCACGCGGCAGCGGGAATAATGGCCGGCCACACGCAGGCCTGGGGCACCGTTATCCCGGAGTACTACCGCATGCAAGCGCTCTTCTTCACCCAGGGACTCAACGCCGGCAAAGCCGCCAACGTTTTTAATGCCGTGATAGCCAAGTTTCCGGGGAATTTCCAGCTGCTGACGCCCGTCAGCTATCTGAACGGCGCTGGTGATCCTTGGTATTATTTGCATTATTACCTCAGCTATGCGTGAAACCCGGAAACATGTTCATATTCACGGATTTTTATACTTTCTTATTAGTTATCGCAGCCACGAAGAACTGTTAGAAATATATTAGCAATATATTATAACACACTCATGATATGTCATCTAGTTGTGAACTATGACCATTGTCTTACTAACTGCTCTATGAGTATACGGTGCACGCAGGTTACCAATCCGCTTTTTTATCAGATGTTTAGGTGCAGCACCTTACTAATATCACGAATGTATCTGACGTTATACAAGAAATCTGCCTGCATAACGTTGAACAACAGAACTGACACCAGTGTGTGCGATGCTTCCGCTTTCTGCTCCCGTGACTTATATTCCTCATACAATATAAATTCTAACAAGAATCCTTTTGTCGGGTGCAAACTATTTCAGCATGCGTCACACCGCGATAATGTCTACATTTTCGAACATTAGTTAATCTAGAAAATGAGACTGTGCTTTCTTCTGCATTCCAAAAAATCTGTGGTTATTTGTGTCGACGTAACGGCTGCTTTATACCGGCTAGTCTATTACTGCTTGAATATTAGCGTACTAATGTTATCATGGCAGTAAAGCTATTTGTCATTTTCAAGGACGACAACGTTTCCGTGACCTACTTAACGAGCAGAGTGCCATGCGGAACGTTGCTAACGGCGCGCACAATTAAATCCCGTCTGTCTCATTTACTGGATGATGCCTCGTGATATGTTTATCGTTGTTTACACTTTCAAAACGAGATGTAAAAATGACTGCATTATCTGCAGACAGTGTAGTGTTTAGACTACAATGACATGTACAGATAGTCCGATACAGATCGTTCTACGAGTACCAATATAGCGTGTACAAATAAATAACTGTCGCTGTCGCCATTTGCTGTATCGACGGTGATACATGATAAGCCTTCTTTACACTTAATAATGCCATGCCGCATCACGGCCATCGGGGAATTGGGTCGCGTCCCGCGGAGCAACCAGGTAACTGCCGCCCGCATGCCTATGCAGTAACGGCCATTACTGGCCACTGTACTGCTGTTGCCTGTTGGCCTAATTGTCGGACTTTGAAATTTTGATACTGCAAGCCGGTTTGTACCTTAAATATCTTATTTTGTCATTTCTTCGTAAATCTACCCTGAATGAAAAAGGATTTCTCCAGTGACGTTGAAGAATTTCTCCCTGGCCTGCGCATAATCAAAACGCTTCAACAAAACATTGTAGTACGGTATTGCAGCGTATGCACAGCGCCATTTGACCAATGAACCGGTCAGGAGCCCAGTCGCAGTGTGATGCACAACGATCGCGGTGCCTGGCTGACTGCCGTAACATTGACCATGCTGACTAACGGGCATCCATCTTAGCGTCAATCATTTAACGATGGCCGCAGCCTTCACTGGTTCCGGCCGGTGCATTATGCAAAACAAAAAAAACCGTATAATACCAAAGAGCTCGATAAACTAGTGTACTACTTATATGAATACTTTAATTGCATGTTTTTATATGTCCAGTGATTTTGCTCGAATTTATCCATTATGACAGATTTACAGTAAAGAGCCAAACAGCCTCACTGTGCAGTGGAAGGGACGACCAACATTGTGGATAATAAGTGGTAAGCGAGCTTCAGCGGAGTCCGGAAATTTACTTGCTCCGTAAAAGTCACGGGTAGAAGTTGGCAAAAAAAAGTTTCAACTGAAAAAGCAGCAGACGTTGAAATGGATCAGAGTGCCAAACACGCCGAACATCGACAGATGCCTTATATAGCAATACGAGCGTAGTGACCCCCTTTATGTGGTGTGCCTGGATCTGAATAGCCGTTGCACAACATCCTGGTGGAAAGAATAGAATCATCTCAAGATTTGTGCCAAGTTGTCCGTGTCTTGGCCTGCCTGAATTACAGTAGATGCAGCGGCAGTATGAATCAGGCGATTTGCCGGGTTCCAAGATTTCTGCCTGAAACTTGAAGAGGTTGTCTACGGTAGAGAATAATGCAGTATAGAATAGTTTATTCTAAAGGCCTTTGAATTATCCTGGCACGCGTTCTGACCCCTCTGTCTGTCATGAGATTCATCAACTGCTGACAAGGAGCATGATGTTAACTAGCCGATAAAAACAGCAATCGCAAAGTACGTTACGCTGTCATCACTTTTTGCCGGACAGACTTAGCGTAATCTATTATACGTCTGTGGTTCTAATTTAATAAATTTCTTTCTTTGCCTTGTGGCTGCCACTTCGCGTTAACTGCATCCAAACGTTTTGTGTACCTACTGCATTTTCGGCTGAATCCATGGCGGTATCTCCAAGGACGTTAGGTACACCATGGCATTCGCCATGATCAATAGTGCACACTTTTAAATTTTTAATCCGACTTTAATTGCGGTGTGTGCTGATTTTGTACGGTAAAGTTGTAAACCGCTTAAGGCGTGTACGCATCAGTTTATCTTCAGAACTTTTGCTTACTTTTAGTTGTGTATTCATAAATTGGACCTTAACAATTCTGTGTGGCAGGAAACGCCTTTGCCGGAACCGAACCGGTGGTCTTCCTCACTGTGAGTTCTCTGGCAAAACCGGAGTTAGTTGTGAGGAGAGCAAAGAATCTAGAAAACAAATTAATGTTGCAGTGGATTGGTTATTGGTGCAGTTTACAGTCTGGTCTTCCTGTTGCAGGACTGGGAGTACGTGGCGTATCTGAAAGCGGAGACCAATCGTCTGCTGGCCGTGTGCGAGCGCCTGAAAGTGGTGCTGGCCGCCAAACGCGCTGCTGAGCGGCGTGCACGTCTACGCAAGTACCTCTGTTGTACCATCATGTAACGGTGGATGTGTTGGACAAAAGTGTCAATGGTTGGGGCAATACTATTTTTTTTTTCCTACTGCGTTGTTGTCTACTTCCGAATATTGGCATGGTGCTTGCTCGCACTAGCATCGGCCTTAACAAATAAACAGACATTACAGTACTTCAGCTTTGTTTTCCTATTTTCTGTCGTTTGCATCCTAAAGAATTGGTTCACAAGTGCCATTTGGTTCCGCAGTTTTTTGCTGCGGCAAGCACCCAGACCCGCTCTTTCAGGATGTGCCCGTTGCGGCCGTAAAAATTATTTGCCGGCCAACGCCTTCGCCAACGCTGTTGCTTATTACCTTGACGGACAGTGGAAGCACAAAGGGCCAATCGGGATGTAATTGGTGGAATGACAGTACCAGTATCAGTACAGTGAAAAAAGCCTATTTCAGATTGCATACGGTAGAGGCTCCGTACATAGAATCGCACGGCGTCAGATAAGCAGTACGTTGGCAGGATGAAGACTGCTTCAGATCTTTGTGCGGTTACACTTTGGTCACGTACGGCAACGAAAAAATTAATCGAGTCGAGTGCGCACGAGGACTTGACCACCCAGCTAACGGTCGGCGGTCTGAGTGCTCAAAAAAGATCCACGGGCAGCATGCGCTGGCCTGCCATTCACTCATGTGTCTGAGCCGTTGCAAGCATCCGCGTAAGGCAGATAGTTTTTACGCGTCACCGCACGACGCTGGGTTACAGCTGCTAACGTCGCGAACGGACGTAAAACAACCCGGAACCGAAGGTTCCACATGGAACCGGAGCCGAAACTAACACAAACCGTGCAATCTGAAATAGGCTAAAGTCTTGTACTGTACGGTCACTGCCGTAACCAGTTACCGGTATTGCTACGGTGACGTACGGCACTTTCGTTACAGTACCATTTTTAAGTAGACGGTTGGTTACGAACTACTGTGCCGTACAGTATGCCGTATACGTTGGTTGTTACGTTAGTTGGTTGGTTACGTTGGCTCGTGTGTGTAATTTTTATTTGCGTTATGAGAATCAAAAATTTTACACAAATTCTACTGGTTGGTTGGTTCCGTACTGCTGTGCTGTACAGTATGCCGTATACGGCAGTACAGTAAACTGTTCTGGGGGATCTATTAAAATAATGTGAACACTGGGTGGATGCTTTCCAGCGTGGGTTCTCTGAGTATCGGTTAAAGCTTTGCCAGCCTTCGCGTGCAGCTGACGATGCTAACCACTGTTGCTGCTAATATACAAGACTACTGCCTCTGCTAGCAGCATTGGCTGCTATATTGTTTCAGTTATAGGATAAATTTCTAAATATAAATTGAGTAACTCCGTTTAATAAAGCAGCCAAAACGATGGTGTAACAGCAAACGTGAGGCAGACATTTAACAAAACAGCAGAAGTGGATACGTATTATGGTAAGTATACTTCTATTCTGGTACGCATTACGTATGGACGGTATGGTATAAAGTATAAACACGATAGTCGTATGTTAGTAATGTTACTTACTACAAGCTGTACGGGCAAACAAAACGGCACGGAGACTGCTTTTGAACGGCCTCTGAAGATGAAAATAGCGACAACAGATTACGTAATACTAGTACCGTAAGGCAAGACGGACACAGCAAATCTATAAAATTTCAGTCAGCGTCGGCGCCCGTAAAAATTTCATCTATCGCCGCTAAAGTTATTTTGCTCAAAGCGGATATGTCCAGCTCCCGGAGATCCAGTGCATCCCATCGCTGTGGAGTTCCATCCGAGAGAAACCCACTGAACCTGTTAGCACGCACAGATTACGGCAATAATCATTACATCGCACTGATTGACTGTTAAGGGAAATGACCCGCGTTATGGTACCCAATGTAAACGCGGATCATTTCCCTTAAGAGTAAACCAGTGTTTACATGCGCAAAACTTTGTCACTTTCGCGCACTCGACTCAAGCACCTTACTGCATTGTTTCATGACATTCTGTAGCCAAATGATTCGCATACACAGGCATGGAAACCGTTTATGCGCGCAATATCCGGTTGGGAAGTTATGGCTGTAAGAAAAACTCCGAAAAGTTCAAATGCATTCAGGTGTACCAAAACTTTCATTATGGCCGATCTCCTTCAAATTTTGCACGGAAACGCACATTAAAAAGCTGATTAATTTTACACCGAAGTACCGAACCACGCTTCTATCATTTTTTTTCAAATTTTTCAAATTTATTTGAAATTTTTAAAAAAATATTTTATAATTTGAAAAATATGGTGCAACTCTTGTTCCGTATACAAACGATTTCATGAACATAATTACCGTAAAATCCGATATTAACGCCCCCCCGAAATTAACGCCCCGTGCGGTTTTAAACGCCCCCTCCCGTAGGTCACGAAATAATAAAAGCCCCCCCGAAATTATCGCCCCGGGGCGTCTAATAATTTGCGGCGCCGCGCTTTTTTTTACTGTTGTCGGTACGGTCTTAGTGGTACATCTTGCTAATTTAGGTAAACTCCACTAATGCACACTCGTTAAACCATGATTTTCTAACTGATGTCTTAATTACTGAATTATTCCTTCAGTGTTCATACATATTAACCTTGCTAAAACTGACAATCATGAGCCTGTTACCCATTTGAAAAATTAGACGCCCCCCCGTAATAAACGCCCCCTGCGGTTTTAAACGCCCCCTCCCGAGGCTCTTGAAAAAATAAACGCCCAGGGCGTTAATATCGGATTTTACGGTATGCGTTTACATGCAAAAATTAAAGAGATCGGTGCATAATGCGACTTTTAGTACACCTGAATGCATTTAAACTTTTTGGAATTTTCTTACAGCCACATCTTCCCAACCGGATGCTGCGCCAACGACCGGTTCTGACGCCTAACAATAAGAAAAGGGTTTGCCGTATGCAGTATTCTCGTATCGGTACGATCTTGACTTGCACGGGAACAAAGGTCAGAATAAGTAAGGAACAACAAAATGAATTTTTATTAATGAATTTTTACTTTTTTACTAATAAAGCTTGACTTTTTTACTAATGATTTTTAACTAATAAACTTTTACTCACAGATTAAGGAAGTTTCGAACGGCGACCCAGTCTTCCGGGTACGCCAGGGTTTGCCGCCAGCGCTGGTGTACATATGTTATTTTGTCAATGACGCACTGACTCACAAGTAGACAAGCGTTATTCGCTGCCAGTAAGAGGAGTCGGACGTGTTGGTCCACTGAATCCGCGGAGCGTAGCAGGAGACGATTGACTCTAACCACCCGACCTGGTTTGTCGGGGCAATAAGGCCGCACAAAAGCTTTTTCAGGCTCTGGAATCATTTGCGGCTCTCCAGAACAAAGTATCGGTCTACGAAAAAACGCTTCAGCAAATGAAAAATTATGATGGACTATCAGCAGCCGCTCGCAAACGGCCATCAGTTTGGAAAAATTTCGGCATTCGTAATTTCCACTCGTGGCTGTATTCTTGATCAACTCCGCACGCCGACTGGCGCAGTTTCTTAGGATCATTACGGGGATGCGAATTCCTTTGGCCAGCAGCACTTCCGTTGCGGTGTTGGCGCGGCTTTCGAATTCCCTGCTGCGATTAACCGCCAGATTAACCAGGGTTAGCGTTTTCGTGCGGTGAGTGATCATACGGTCCAGCACCATGGTGAGATGGTACTCATCATTCCAAGTGGAGTTCACTGATTTAGACGCATGGAGGATGTCTTGTGTCCCATCCTTGTCCGGTTTGTCGTCCAATTTTACGCTGATATCAACTACGACGTCGGCGGTGACGAGATGTTCCGGCAGCATTTGGTGCCATAACATGCACACTCTGCAAAATTAGTACAACATAAGGCATTCCCAAAACAAAAGTAACTAGCTGTCGGGCAGCGGATTGTAAGTCGAGTCGGCGAATTGCCGTGCTACCGAGTTTTAGGAAGTGCACCGAAAACGATGGACTGCAGCTAATGGTAGAAGTGCGCAAACGCTACACGCCGCACAACGGCAGAAAATGACCAACAATCAGAAGGGACTGTGTTGTGCACGGTCCCTTCTCATGATAATTGGGACAAATTCTTCATTTGATTGGTATCATTGAGAGAAGCTCGCTGTATACATATTGAGGAATTGTTTCTCTATCAGAAAAATGTCATATGGTATGCCGTATGGATAACGGTTCTGCCAGACTTGCGAATTGTGATGCTGCCAACAAATAAAATTTTATAAGATCTTCGATAAGTTGGCAAAGCATCATAGTTTGTAACAACAGGCAAAGTTCGTTGCGCTTAAAATTTTTCAAAATAAATACACTGACATGGAAAACCTGCTCTGCACGGGAGGGTAAATCAGGGCAATGCGCAAACTAAAAGCCTAAAGGAATAACGAGTACAGTATATTAGTAAAATAACGGGCTAACCAGAGTTGAAGAACAGCGAACGTCATTCAGCGGTCGTTGTGTCACTTGTGTGGCAAGCCGCAAACATTATTGTGTAGAATACGCGCACTTCTACCATTAGCCATAGTTCAAAAAGTTCGATCCACTTCCTACGTCCAACTTTGGCTTCACACGTGTCTCGCAGGTCATTTAAACCATCTAATCATCTACCGTAATTAATATACTGTAGAAATGAATTACCATGTAGTATGTACTTAAATTCGCTTAGAGCTTAAAACCCAAACGTTTGAAATGTCGTGGAACCCACCTGTGCATCATTCCTTGAGTACGCGCGTGAAAATCAAGAAGAATTTCCACCAAAACGGGGTGCGGAAGGTCGATAATTCGGCAGCCCTCCGTACTGGTGCCTGCAATCGCTTCTTGTTAGAAAACGAATGGAATTCCTCGGGTGTGTTGCGGGTTAATGGAAAACATTGTAATTTGACTTATCCCAATGGCGCCGCGTGCCGTACTGGTACGTCAACATCAAGCAACTAGATATTTACTTAAGTTAGTCGTTACCGTGAAACTGATGGATAAGAGTGGGCCTGTCGGGTCCAGCCGGAAGTTGAACGGCTAGAAGGTTTTCGCAAGCCGCGAGAAGGCTGTCACGCTTCAGGGAATCCTCAACCGAAATAACTTCCTGGCTTTCTTCGGCCACCACAAAGGTGGCCGAATCCGTACCGAACTGTACGAAGAATCGACGAGCAAAATCAGTCCAGCGCACCAATCGGCGCAGCGAAGGGGGCACCGGAAAAATGCAGCCCGACACGGCATCCAGATTTCTGATCAGATACGCCTGCTGAAAAGGTATGATATACTTTTTGTACGCAAACTGTGCATGATTCCGATAGAAACACAGTTCGTCAGCGAGCGGAAACTGCGTGACAATCTGGGACTCGTGGACGAATTTACGGCCGTTGGATAGACCTTCTCCTAGTTGTACATTCCAGCATAGGGAATATTTTTCCGGTGGCACGTAGGCAATTCTGCCTGGCCGAAGTATATATGGTCCGCCGGGTTCGTTGCGCACGGCCACTTCCACGCGTTGGCCTATATACACCGCGCCTCCTTGAAAATATTCATGCCGAAAGATGCAACGAGCTTGGATCCATGATGGGCCGATGGCGCTACTGTCGAAGTTAATAAAGAACCGGTTTCTGCCAATATCCTGAACGTGTCCCAGCCACCATTCACCGTTGTCTCTCTTAACCAATACCGTATTGCCGTAATTCGTGCAGCGAGTGTCCAAACCGAAGTGTCGGAAAAAAAGCGGTGTTCCATAGACGAATACCATTATGTTCGGATCACAATCAAAACGATAAGCAACCGTTACCAGAAATTCCCTTAATGTTTACAATCGCTGGCATAGGTAATGAATTTAGTATAGATATATCGTATATCCTCAGACGAAACCCAGGTTCGTGGCACAACTCATCAGATTCCGCAAAAGGCGTTCAGTAAAAGTAAGGGTATTTAATTAGGGTAAGCAAATTAATTTGACATTCGATACTGTACCTGGAAACTTCGCGGCTAAAATTACTACAGGGAAATGCAAACATTAGCATACTAAATGTGTCCGACGGTCAAGTGGTAACGATAGGCTTGCACAGAAAAACTCAAGTAGTTATGTGAAAGTTCATTTTTACTTAACTGCGCGCAGCAACGCCGGCAGACTTCATAGACCTCCATGTAACCGCCGACTTTCCGATCGCGTACAGTTGGGTTGCTTCCTCATAGTGTTCAATCTCGGCGTCCATGTGGCGCGGCACCACCATCTGCCCCAGCGTCAGTGTTGTGTCTGGCGCCCGTGCGAAAATCCCGCCAGCAGGAGGTCGGTCGGCGTCAGCAGCAGGGTCACCGTGCACATACTGTCCGATCGGATACTTTCGGCGCCGAGGTGAAAGTAAGGGCTGGGGCTTCTATAGAGTCTTACGGAGCATCACACTGCTGCGGCTCTGTGCATTCACATACTGTACATCACATACAGACTGATTAATAGTTTTAAAATCAGTGCGCACCACCAGTACAGAACGTACAGCGCGCCTCACTACGGTGAGTGTTGGGATACAAATTTCCGATCGGACTGTACTATGGGTGGTTGCTATTCAACCATGGAATCGTATTTGTGTGTAAGTGTGCACCGGGCAGTCCTCGTAAACGGAAATTTTGTTTGTACTGGATTAGAGAAGCTGTAAGCGATTGCTGGATCAAGCTTGTTGTTGGGAAAACCGAAACGTATGTTAGTCGTATTATCTGCACCCGGCGTTCAGTGTTGCGCATAATATATTGGCACGACGTGACCCACTGTGACAATCAGCACGTGAATCGAAATCGTCAGTCGACTCGCACATTGCTGGAGATAAGGATTTTAATTGCGTCTAATCGATGGCTCAAGCGCGGTTTGAAACATTGTGGCCCCAAAACAAACGTCCGTCCATCTAAACTTTGACTGACAATTATTCAAAACAGGCGATTATCTCTCTCCAAAACGTATCACCTCTATTATCACAATTACGATTACAGCGCAGAAATTTAATTAAGGAGAAAAGGAAACCAAATGAAAAGCGGAACGATTGCCAGGTGCCACGACATGCAGTATTCGTCTTCAGTCGAAGAACCGTGCATCAACGAAACCCTGTCTCATCTTTGTACAGATAGGCAACGCTGTACATTATCGTTGTACAAACAACTGTAAGCGGTAGTTCAGTGACCAGTCAACTTCAGTGCACCTAACGGCCAGAACTATGGCCGCTTCAAGGCAACTAACGCTGCTTGGTAAGTTCTTATTTACGCAGTGCGGCGCAGCATAAACCTTCATCCCTTTAGCTGTTCATTTGCACATAAGTTCATTTGTACATAATATGCAACCTTTCCAGGATTTGCAGTGTTTATGGCTACTTGTACTGGCAGTGACATCGCTACAGCCGCCGACCAACGGCACCGCTCATCACCAACTCAAGGAACGGATATGATTTTTGTCGTGGACGTATCCCATAGCATGTTCACATCCATGTGCGCCGTCAGACGGGTATGCCTGCAACTCTTCAGTCTGGCCAGCAGCTCTAACAATCCGGGTGGCTTCGTGCTGGTGCCCTTCCACGGTGACGCCGTGGGTCCGGTGCAGGTGTTCGACCATTCCGGATATGGTCTGCCTACTGCGATCGACTACCTGGGCGCATACGGCAACAGCGACACACCGCAGCCGTGTCTGGAAGCGTTGCTGGCCGCCTCGGAGCGAGGCGGTAACCGCGCTCCCATCTACGTCTTTACCGACGCCCCACCCACGAACCCCGGCTTGCTTTCCTCCGTCTTAGTGTCGGTCCTCTTAAAGCGCCAAATGGTGATTTTTATCGTGCCCACCCCGGAAGGGAATGCTATCGCCGCCGAAATGGCTGTCTACCAGACGATCGCCGATGTCACCAGTGGTCAACTAATTACAACGACTGAAACCATGCCCGACATCGACGCGGCTTGGCTGTTCGGTGCGATACGCCGCTGATTCCATGCTGGAGCAACCTGGCGCTTTAATCTAGTTTAAAATTAGCGCTTTGTGCACATCCACCATACAGCTGCGTTCTGTCATTTAAAAATTTAAATAACGGCAAGGATTTTGTCCGCATATGAACGTGATTATGTACGTAAAGACCCAAGCCGAAGCCGCGAGGTGATGGATAAGATTTCGACGTCTGATCCGACGATGACGCTCCATAAAGTCCTGATTACTTGTATAACTAACACGAGCTTTACAAAGCAATGGAACAAAGTTATAACATTAGATATTAGCTCTCACAAAAACTATACTCCTCTCTCATCTAATTTATCCGCTGCGTAACGCGTTTTTTATCTCGAAAGGTTATTAGCGGGGAACAACCAGGTGTGGTATACGGTACATATGTACTGTACATAGAATGAGCATATGCCTGGGCAGTGGATAGTGTGAAGCGTACAGCGTGACGTGTGTGGTTTTGATCAGTGTGGCTGACCTGACTGATTACAGGTGTTTGAGATGCTGCGGTAAACTGTCGGATTTACGAACGTTAATTAGTTGAGTTTTGGCCGGTCTTACGTCGTGACGGCAATTAATTTGCTAACGTGTGTGTTTTATGAATTAAAGTGTGAGCCTTGTGGCAGTGTGTGTTTTGTGTTTGTGTATGACCTTTCCTTACTTGCGCAGTACCACCAGCACAAAACAGTCGTTTTGGTCTCGAGGACCGCCTAACAAGCAATCCTCGTTGAGAGACTTGAGAGTCTCGTTTTAATATGTACTGTACATAGAATGAGCATATGCCTGGGCAGTGGATAGTTGATACTGAACTATACTGGTGCAAATATTAACAAACGCCCTCATCTGTTTGCTCAATATTTATACTAGTATTTACAGTAGTACTTGTTGATAGAAATGTCTCCTCGGTGAATATCGTAATTCTAATTTTTCTACGATTCATCTCTTAATGGGACCCTAATGAAAATGGCGGATGGATTCATTTTCACGAATTAAAAACAAAATACGACCAATCGACATTATTCCCAAGCGCAGTATGAGTACGAGTACAGATTTCGGAGAGCATAAAAACCGAGCCGGTTAGGAACAAACAAGATAACAATGCCATTCGGAAACTTCGCGACTTGCCGGAGAAAAATGCATTTAAGTGCAGGAGGACATACAGAGTACATACCGTTGAAATGATCGTCAAGTTTCAGTGGTAACGACAGGCTTCGACAGAAAAACTGAAGGAATTAATTATACGATAGGATGACATACGTATATTCGTTTTACACTAACTGCACGCACCAACATCGGCGGACTCCATTGATTTTCCATGTAATCGCCGACGCTGGCGCGCGCGATACGGCATACAAACTGAACAGCTGTTGAGAAATAACGGAAATTTACAGAAGAAAAAAAGAGCGGACCGAGGAAATAGTTTAGCAAAGGCAGTTAACGCGATCCGTGGTATTCGGCATCACGCAGGCGCTGCAGCGCGCGGCCCAACATCATCCGGCTCCACTGGCTCAGACGGCGGCCAGCGTAGTTGAATAACCTGTCGGCAGCGTAGTCGTTGGGAAAGCCGCTTCCGGCGTAGCGAAAGAAGCCAGCATTGCTGCCGGTTCCGCGCGGGCCCGTCTCGTCGTCCGCCTGCAGGAATTTCTCCACGCTGTTGACGGTAAACTTGTTCTGGACGGAGTCCATCGCCTGGCGCAGGACGCGGTGCTGGCTGCTCTTCACGAACTCCGGATGCTGGTCCTCGAAGCGCACCAGCGCCATCTTGGCGGCGAAGGGGCCGTCGCGGCACAGATAGACCAGGACCGCCCGGAAGGCGGCGGCGTCAGCATCTCTTAAGTAGGAGAAGCGGTTGGCCCGGGAGTAGTCGGCAGCGGAGAAGCTGGCGCCATCGCCGCCGGCATCCGCGCTCTCGACCCAGTCCCGCGTGTCAGGACGACCCATCTAGTAATAATTAGCCGCACATTATTTTTATTATTGCACATCCTGTACAAGCTTGTCCGGTAATTTCTGACGAATCACCACAGCGAATTAAATAAATTTGTGTGTTACGCCAAACTTCACACTACGGCGCGCCAAGCCACACTGTTTAAACACGTAACATGCATTTGGCTGACTGCTGGCTTGGTAGTTGGTTCACCACGTTTATTTTATGAGAATATTAGCAGCTGCCTGGCGGAAGGTGGCTAGAAGATGGTCGGTGCAGTAAGCGACAATCTGACTGCGGAGCGCTTTTAGGGAATTTGATAAACGTAGTGAAGTGGCCACCGTTATAAGCGCAAACTTCGCGCTAGCTGTACCTTTACGTAGGCAATACCGGACAAGCTTGTACATGTACGTCTACGCATACGTATTATACTTCTACCTTTGTACACTGCAAAGTGTGAACATGTATCTGTGCTATTCAAAATAATTATTAATAAAAATAGGTTCCAGTAGCTTGAAACCGCAAAACACATAATTATGTAGTCGGTAGTCGTAAACGAGAACTTGCAACTTTCGAAATTCATCACAAATACCCTCGCTATAACGAGTTGGCAAATATGATGGAATAATGCAGGATTAGAGGGAAAACAACCGAATTTCTTGCCTCTTCGAAAATGTTGAGCGCGCGGCGATAGTCGCCCTGGCGCGCCGCCAACTCGCCGACGGTCAGCCACGCCCTATCCGCATAGTAGCGTTCCCACCCATTGCCGGCCTCGTACAACCGGGCCGCTTGCTCGAAGTAGGCCATCGCGCGGTCCAGGTCACACGTCATGACCATCTGCCCCATGGTGGTGTAGTGCCAAGCGGCGCCGGAGAAAGCCCCGGCCTCGGTCAGCAGCGTGGCCGCCGTCTGCAGACAGTGCAGCGCGTCGCCACGGTTGTCCACCTTGAGGAAGCAGTCACTGGCTTCCTTTAGCAATCCGCTGGCCGTGTTGTCATTGCTGCTCCAGTCTCCGAAGGTCTTCTCCGACCGATCGGTGCCTTTTCGAACGGCGCCTTGAGGCGGGCGGCCTCCTGGAAGGCGGAGCCGGCGGCCTCCCATTGGCGCTCCAGTTTGAAGAAATTGCCGGCGCGGCGGAACAGGTCGCTGGCTTCCAAGTGGTCGCCATGCGCAGCCGCCGTGCGGGCGGCGGTCAACATGCGCTCCGTCGAGCGCTTCTCGGGCATGGTGCACATAAAACTGGGTGCTGGCGCGTTCATTCTGGAGATTAGTAACAAATAACGTTAAGACCTTTAATAAGTATCACAGTGCTAGTACAAAACTGAGTACCAAAGCAGAATATAATTTATAATAAAAACACTTCTTCGATGCTATCCTGTTCGGGGATTGTACCCATCACGCATATCGCGTTTCCCCGTTGCATTTGAATAGATAGCCGCTGCCTAAAAAACTCTTTTGCGCGTTTTTGGCCGGTAGCAGTTGCAATTCCGTTTCCTATCTTCTGGACGAGCGTTTTAGTTCCATTTCCCCAGGGTCCGTAGATTTCAAATGCTGCTGCCATGAAATTGTACCTTGGTTGCAGCCAGCCGTGTTTTGTCAGCTTTCCTCGCTCCGCGTGCTCGGCCGCAGCCCCGACGTTCACCAGGGTCCGATCAATATACGAAGCCGCTAGTGTGTCTACGCAAGTCACGTCGATAGCCAGTGGCTTTCCGCGCTCCCAGGGTACGAGCGTGATCACGTCCGGCCTTTGCGATCTTTCACAGAGACCTTTTGGTTCCATTCTGGCTGGAAACCTGCGGTTTTCAGGCCGCGGGTGAACTCTCCGCTGAGGCCATCATGTCTTGGCAATCTGCCGGCTGACCGTTTACAACGGAGCCCGTGCCGCCCCAGATCATCCACTAGTCCACCGCAAACGCACACGTGAGGAGTGACGATTGGAGCTCCCAAGCGTAGCGCTATGCTTATGCGAAAAGTGTTGTTTTCCAGCAAATTTCCGAGACATGCTGCGGGTAACGCATGAATCCATACACCAGATTCGGGGACAGATACCGCCTTTAGGTGAGCGATTTCCTCCTTTGTGGCCCGCAATTCGGTTAGCCTTGCATAAGTGTTCAGCGTTGTGGGTATGTCCCAGGCTTTTTGAACATGTCGTAACACTTCAGACGGAAGTTCATCAGTGTCAGCCAATAGTTTCCAGGCGCGCGTGGCGGCAGACAAATCGGTAGCCGTTAGCGTCGGGCACAGCCTTGAAGTCAGCGGAAACAACGAGGAAGCCGATGCCAAGTAGGCAGAGGGAGCTAGCTTCTCGGTGCGTCTGACTCCCAAGCCGCCGAAGCGAACGGGGAGAGATGCCTGGAGCCACGTAGGATGATCCATCCGTACGTTGGTGATCATTTCCACTGCATCGCGGAACACCTGGCCGAGCCTGTACAGCTCCTGCGGGAACATCCAGGCGAGAGAGGTGCGCAAGATATGCACGATTTTCGGCACTCCTAAGCAATTTTTCAGCAGAAACAACGCTTGATGTTTAGGAATCAACTGCAAACGGCTGCACATTACCCCGAGCTGACTGATTTTCTCGTTAACAATCGGTACGACTGCTGGTGGTAACAAAGGGGATCCGAGCAGACAAAGCTTATCTGCTGTTAGCACTGTAATTCCAGGAAACAAAGTAGTGAAGTTTTCGATGACCGATAATCGCTGTACTTCAGTACCACCACAGAGAAAAAGTTCACATTTCGCAATGTTGACGGAAAGGCCAATCCGTAGGGCTTCCGTGATAAGCAGCTGGAAATTGCGTAGTACACTTGACGGGTGGCCTCCTAGCGTCCCGTCATCCATGTACCAGGCATTCAAGTCCGTGTTGATTTTATCGATGATTAGTTGCAATACCAAACAAAACAATGCAGGGCCAAGAGGATCTCCTTGTTGCACACCGTAACAAATTAATACCTAACAAGGTATTAAACGGGAAAAGAAATTCTTAGTATACAGTATCTGAACTGGATTACTGGAACTGAAGTGTTTCACTCGATGGTACACTTAATAACGTGAAAAAATTGATATCATCAAATCACTAACGTGAATAATTTCTGAAAAATTAACGGAATATGCAGCTAACTGACTAACAAAATGAATAATGCATACATTAGCGGACAAGTTTGTACTTAAATAATTTAGCGATCTGCCCATCCCAAACGCAGATAATCCAGGGCAAGCAGACTATCAGCAAAAGATTTATACTGTTTACCGCACAGAATTACCTTTTAAATGTACTCGGCGACTACTCGCATTCTGCGAGGAGCTTACCTGGAGACTGGGAGTGATCTCGAAGGAATTACAGAAAAATTACGCTGCAGCGGTGACCTTTGATTGTTCTATGAACAGTTGCACTCGAGTCTGATCCACAGCAAAGATACAACGAGAAAAACCAAAAACAAGGAATTTTCGTCCTGGGATGGAGAAAGCCGTAGCCGTGCAAATGGAGCGGGGTGCAAAACGCAGAGAAGCGCCAACAAAGAAGCCAGTCTGTTTCCCTTTGTCGCTGCGGCTGTGCTCTTATGTCGCGGCAGCAGACTGGGATCGGCGCAACTTGTCGGTGTACTCGTGCAGCATGGAGTCATCAAGGAGCGA